TTCCATCCAAAGAAGCCGCTTACTGGATAGATCACGTGATGAAGTATGGCGGAGACTATATGAGGTCATCGGGACAGGAAATGCCGTTGTATCAATTTCTTCTTCTTGACGTCATCGCTTTTATAACAGCTTTACTGTTTGCTGTTATTATTATTCTACTCATCATTTCCAGGTTTTCCTACAAATGGTTGTGTAATTACATAAATTATAAACCCAAGTTGGAATGATTCTGTATTGTGGGTTTAAGGTATGTTTGTTTAATAACCAGAGTGCACGTACATATTCAATAAAATAAAATAAAATTTTGGAACATTAGTTCCTTCGTTACAGTAATTTCTTGTTCTTGTAATGTATTCAGCTATTTCGTTTTATACTAACCTTACTATCATTCAGAAGCACGAATAACAAGACCATTACTTTGCTAAGCATGACCAAGAGTCAAGTACATAATACCTGTAGTCAATATCCAAATATAGTTAATGTCCAAACATCTGTAGTCAATGTCCAAATATATGTAGTCGATTTCCAAATATCTGTAGTCAATGTCCAAATGTTTGTAGTCAAAATCCAAATATTTGTAGTCAATGTCCAAAGATCTGTAGTCAATGTTTAAACACATGAGGTCAGCATCTGAAGTCTTAAAAATAATTAAAGCTTTACAGAAGTTATATTAAGTAAAGTGTGTTACAAAATTTGTGTATGCAATGAACGTATTTTTTTACTTAAAGGCTACATTCTATTTACGTATGTCAATTATTATGCTTTACTTTGATCGGCTGTTATTTAATCAAGAGAAGAGCGAGGTAACGGCCAGTCTGTTAAACAAAACGAGGTTTTGTTTACAAGTAGTTTGGAGATAAAGATTTTGTTTTTCGATCTATTCACCTTTATTTCCCAAATATTAAAACGTTTCCAGGAAAATATGTAAAATACGGACAAAGCATTGTACATTAAAAAAATTGGGCCCCTATAAATTGCGGTAACCAAGAGAGGGCCTACAGTCTGAATGTTTTGTGAATATTATACTGAACTCATCATTCGAACGGAAAAGGCGGATTACATTAAATTTTTAAAAAGCTGAAAGGTTATCCCTCTTTCTTGAACTATCATTAAATTATAGGATTTTTCTCTTCCGTTACATATTATGTTACATCATATTTAAAAGCTTCCAAACGCATATAGTAAAAACTTTTTTGCATAACTATTTTGTTCTTGTTGGACATATCTATTTATAAATGCCTAATAACAATAATAAGACTAATACTACTAATAATAATGCTAAAATAGTAATAGTTATACTAATACTACTAATAATAATAGCAACAGCAACAGCAACAACAACAGTTACGGTAACTAACATATCTAAATGCTTGTGCTATTGATAGTAATGTATTTAAAATCCACTTTCTCTCACTCAGAAATGACTAATGTGAGTGGAGTTTTCAGATAGATGTTTTACTATGTCGCCAAGTGTTTCCTCAAATGTTATAGCCTTGATGGCTCTGTGCTTGATTAGGCTCTCCCTACTCAGGTACTCTGGCATACAAATCCACACCTCGTGACCCAGCTCTATCAGAGCCTGGCCTATGTTGGCGTTTTGGATAATATAACTTTTGGTAATGCCAGGCAACATGACGACCCTCTTGCCCTCAGCAAACGTGAGTACTAAAAGAATGATGCACAGAGACACAATCCTGAGGACGAGCATGTTTGTTAGAGCTTTCTTACTTATCTGTTTCAATTCTGAATAAAAAAAAAAAAAAATTAAGTTAGTAAACCTCGTTTTAGCAAGTGTTTTTCTTTTGTTTTAAAATACTACAGCCCCATCAATTTAAAAATACATACATATATATATATATATATATATATATATATATATATATATATATATATATTACCGAATCAATAAATACATGATTTATTTCTTTATTGTTAATCTAAGAACAGTTGCAAAGTATTATCTAATGTTTCTTTTATGGTTTCTCTCTGTGAGTGTGTGTGTAAATGTATGTATGTATGTGATGCTAAATGCCCGCGTTAAATCATGTTGAATGTGATTGTAGATTGTACCGATCTCTTTGTTAAGAAAGCAGTTAGGGCCCTATAAGTATACAAGTCAGTTTTATTATTTACAATATTTTGTCTCAAAGTAAAAAAAAAAAACAACTGAATAATTATCGAAGCATTGTTTTTGTTAAACAGGGAATGGAAATGGTACAGTTTTAGTTTCTTTCTTCTTTAAAAACGTGATTCAATTAGTTTTATATAACATACGTAGCATGTTATTAATTGTTATTCGTGAATTAATTGCATTATACCGTGGCCGTAATTTTCCCTTTAATGTCAATCAACTGTCATGATTGTTGGTTTATTTGTTGCTGACACCATAGAAATGTATTTAATTGAAACTTGACAAGGTAGACAACTGCAGTAAAATTTATCATGTAAATTAGGGTCAGAGTGTGCATGTAATTTAGTCTATATTGTATATGTATATATTTTTTAAAAATCCAGTATAATACTATGTTATCTATTTAACAGAGATGTATTTTTCTGTTGTTTTTTTACTTTCTAGTATACGACGTATAAAGGAAGTTAATGTAAACGTGCAAAAAAAAATCTCGACGTTTTACACCTCCATGAGTTGGAAAAACATAGTTTTGCAATCTTGTTCGTATATCTGTGTGTTTGTGTGTGTATGTGTGTCTGTGAACACAATAACTTGAGTAGCAATACAGCCAGGTTGATCAAATTTCATATACGTGCTATATCAAATGTGTTGCTCTGTATCAACTTTTCACCGATTTCCGGTAACCGGAAGTAGAAATTATTTTACTTTTAATTTTTTTTAAAAGCCTAAAGCTTGAGTACTATTTTAGATATATAAATGAAATTTCACATGTAATTAAAAGATCTAATTCTCTGCCTTCTGTCAAATTTTGAGTTATTTCCGTTGATCGGAAGCAGTAATTTACGTTATTTTAAAAAACGCATGTAAATTTATAAAGTATTAATAATATTCCGCACTATTATACACATATTGTTTGACGTTTACTTAGTGCGCAATTCTTTTTTCTACGAGATTTTATTCTATTTTAAAAAGTTTAAGTAATTAAAAATGGATTAAAAATCATGTCTATTTCCCCGAGTTGCCATCCCACGTAGTGTTTATATAAGAATATTCGAGAAAGTTTAGGGGAGATCACTCCTGGTTTATTTTCTTTTGAACCTTTCTATTTCACAAAATAAACTTTAAAAGCTAGTAGGCTACATGTTTACTAAAGCAGATTAAACTTTCATAATAAACTTAAGACAAGCTTTTAAAAATGATAGACATCCACACTTGGTTCTGTGTCCGTTGTAGGTAGAGAAGAGCTGTGGTTTTTTTCCCCATTAAAGTAGGATGGCGGGGGAGGATTTCAGAGGATGAGTACACAATGGCCCTCTAGATAACTCAATGTTGCTATGTCGATAGCTGGTTTGTACTAGTGTTGTCTAAAGCTACTTGGCGAAATGGTAGGTCTTGTTGTTTTCTTGAAATGTCGTTGGTGACATGGCATTGCTTTATTGGTGATCTATTATCATTGGGTGCATCAAATAGTAAATTGTATGGGTTGAAGTATAAACAAAGCAACGTTTTATAGAGACATTGAGGAACAATTTTTTAAATTACCAAATAATACGTGGCAGCCATTACATCCTTCAACACCTAAACAAACAGCGGTCTCACTCAACTACAGCGCCCTCATTCTAGGCAGTCCTATTTGGCACACGAAAAAGTTACGTAAAAATAAACAGTATTTAAAAAAAAAAATTTTCGACAAAGAAACTCATTATTCGCCATCTCATCTAGATCTAGATACTCTTTATTCGTCAACTTAGCTAGATACTCATTATTCGCAAGCTAGATACTCATTATTCGCCAGCTTAGCTAGAGACTCATTATTCGCCAACTTAGCTAGATACTCATTATTCGTCAACTTAGCTAGATACTCATTATTCGCCAGCTTAGCTAGATACTCATTATTCGCAAGCTAGATACTCATTATTCGCCAGCTTAGCTAGATACTCATTATTCGCCAACTTAGCTAGATACTCATTATTTGCCAGCTTAGCTAGATACTCATTATTCGCAAGCTAGATACTCATTATTCGCCAGCTTAGCTAGATACTCATTATTCGTCAACTTAGCTACATACTCATTATTCGTCAGCTTAGCTAGATACTCAATATTCGCCAGCTTAGCTAGATACTCATTATTCGTCATCTTAGCTAGATACTCATTATTCGCAAGCTAGATACTCATTGGTCGTTGTTTTAGAGTTAACGGTTTACCAATTATTCATACCTTGTTTAACAAAAGGTCACCACTCACGTGCCCTCGTTTTAGAAACGTCAGACTACCAGTGAAGCGTATCCTGGCCAATAGAAATTGGTACGCATGACGAGACCACGCGCGTGAAACTATAAAAAAAGCTAATCAAGATAATAAATGGATATTATAATCTACATAATTGTTTCACATTTAACTATTTGAGAAGAATAGTTAAGAGAAGCAGTACAAATAACCCAACATCCTCCAGGGGAGATAACACTTCACTTGTAAGTAAAGAACCCAGATTTTAAAATGTTTTCATTGAATACTTTACAGAGCACGATTGCGATTTCTTTATTTAAACCATATTTGATTATACATTTAAAATTAAATGAGTAAACACAAATTTAATCAGACAAGGTATATTTTCCCCCATTTGGGCGAATTCATTATTATCCATGTAACAAACTAATTTTTTTGCTCAGTGGCTTGTTTTAAAATTAGCCCATTTCGTTGTTTTCAATGACTATCTATTAGATTTAATATATACTAATTGTCTGACCAAAGCTCAATGTTTTTAACCTCAAAGGAAGATATAAATTAAACATAAGGGACCTAAAATAGTTCTTAAAAGTTTAATAATAAATGTTTACTTTCAGAATTGCACCAGCAGTCTGAGAAAAAAATGAACTACTTTGCGATCGTGTGTCTGTACGTGAGTGCTGCAGTACTCACACAAGCTGAGGGCAAGAGGGTCGTCATGTTGCCCGGCATTACCAAAAGTTATTTTATCCAACACGCCAACATAGGCCAGGCTCTGATAGACCTGGGTCACGAGGTGTGGATCTTCATGCCAGAGTACCTGAGTAACTCCAGCTTGATCAAACATAAAGACATCAAGATCTCAACGTTTGGGGAAACGCTGGGTGACATGGAGGAAGAGATGATGAAAAGCTCCAAACTGGTTAGTGACTTCTGGGATGAGAAAGAATCGCCGCTGACTACATTTTTGTCGACAGCCAGAGCATTTAGGCATTTAATCAACATAGTTTTAGATGAGAAATCTTTTATTGATAACATCAGCAACCTTAAGCCTGATTTGCTTGTTCTCGATAGTTTAATGTTTAATAGAAATTTGTTTGTTGTTCCGTACAAGTTAGATGTTCCTTTTGCTGCTATTGGCACACTGCATGACCTAATAATGCAAAGAGTGCCATTCAGTCCTGCAGTAGAACCAAAAGTACCAGACATAGTTACCAACAGAATGAACTTCTATGAAAGGTTAAGCTCTACCATACGTACGATTCTAGAGCTAAGCTATGACGTCTTCACTGATAGTGACATTGTGACTAGAATAGCACCAGAAAAACCCTACACGACAATTGGTGATATTATATTAAAAGCTGACATTTTTATTGCCGAACTTGATCATATCCTAGATTATCCCAGACCAATGTTACCCAACACAAAGCTGATTGGTGGATCTTCTGTCAGTGAGCCAAGGCCTTTGATTGGTGAGTTTAAACAGTTTGTTGATAAATCAACCAATGGGATTGTTGTTGTGTCTTTTGGAAGTAACGACATTCCATTTCCTGAACATATTTTAGCCAAACTGTCGTCTGCTTTTGAACAACTAGACTTTGACGTCATTTGGAGAGTCAACTTGACGTCCCCTGTTCCATCGAAAATTATGACGTCACACTGGATTCCCCAGAATGACCTACTTGGTCATCCAAAGACCAAAGTTTTTGTTTCCCATTGTGGTAAAAATGGCCAATACGAGGCTTTGTATCATGCTGTGCCTATCCTCTGCCTGCCTATTTTCGGTGACCAGTTTTATAATTCTAAAAGAATTCAGGTCAAAGGTTACGGTTTGCATAAAGACATACGACACATTTCCAAAGGAGAACTAACCACTGCCATAAAAGATCTAGTTTATGACAACAAATACAAAAGAAATATCGAGAAAGCGTCCAAGCTATTCAAAGAACTTTATAAAGTTCCATCCAAAGAAGCCGCTTACTGGATAGATCACGTGATGAAGTATGGCGGAGACTATATGAGGTCATCAGGACAGGAAATGCCGTTGTATCAATTTCTTCTTCTTGATGTTATCGTTTTTATAGCAGCTTTACTGTTTGCTGTTATTATTATTCTACTCATCATTGCCAGGTTTTCCTGCAAATGGTTATGTAATTACATAAATTATAAATCCAAGTTGGAATGATTCTGTATTGTGGGTTTAATTGTGTTTGTTTAATAACCAGAGTGCACGTATATATTCGATAAAATAAAATAAAATTAGGAACATTGGTTCCTTCGTTACAGTAATTTATTGTAATGTTCTTGTAATGTATATAGCTATTTTGTAATATACTAACCTCACTATTACTCAGAATCACGCATAACAAAACCATTACTTTGCTAAGCATGACCAAGAGTCAATGTCCAAATATCTGTAGTTAATGTCCAGATATCTGTACTCAATGGCCAAATATCTGTAATTTATGTCCAAATATCTGTACTCAATGGCCAAATATCTGTAGTCAATGTCGGAATGTTTGTAGTCAATATGCAAATATATGTAGTTATTTGTCCAAATATCTGTAGTCAATGACCAAAGATCTGTAGTCAATTTCCAAAGATCTGTAGTTATTTGTCCAAATATCTGTAGTCAATGTCAAAATATCCATAGTCAATGTTCAAACACATTAGGCCAGCATATGTTGTCTTAAAAATAATTTTAAAGAAGTGATATTAAAGAAAGTTTGTTATAAAAATCGGCGTATGCATTGAACGTATTTTTTTTACTTAAAGTCTACATTCTATTTACATATATCAATTATTATGCTTTACTTTGATCGGCTGTTATTTAATCAAGAGAAGAGAGAGGTAAGGGCCCGTCTGTTAACAAAACGAGGTTTTGGGATAAAGATTTTGTTTTTCGATCTATTCACCTTTATTTCCCAAATGTTAAAACGTTTCCAGGAAAATAATTAAAATACTGTCAAGGCAATGTACAAAAAAAAAATAAAAAAAAATTAGGTCCCTATAAATTGCGGTAAACAATTACAGAAGGCCTACAGTCTGAATGATTTGTGAATATTATACTGAATTCAACATCCAAACGAAAAAGGCGGATAACCTTAAAAATAAATCGAGAGTGATCTCCCCTAAACTTTATCGAATCTAATATATAAAGCTCAATTCTGTATGTAATACATATGTTTGTCGTGGATCTTCTATGGATTTAAGTGTTAGATAATTAAAGTCCTTATGGTCTAAATTTATGAGTTAAAAAATTAATATTGAAAGTTTTGGGAAATAATTTTCATTTATCAAACTGAAAGTAATAATTTTCGGCATGTTCATTAAACACAAGTGTTAAAAAAATATCATCTTTTACAAAAATTCTAATTATGTCTTTATTTAGTCCTATAGCACTTACTTCCCTTTGATAAATTAGGAAAACACAATTACTTCCCTTTATAAAACCATTGCATTAGTGGAAAAGAATTTACTTTTTATTACTTTGTTTTGGTGTTGGGAAAAAAAATAATTACATAATTAGCGGGAATTGATCAAGTGCAAATGTTGTAGGTATTTTACGGATAAGCTTGGAGTATTATAATTGTTCATTAAATTGAAACAGGCGCGTTCGTTTAAGTGAGTGCAAAAGACTATGAATAAGTTGGGGTACTATAGTCGTTTATTAAGCTAAAACAGGCGATTCCGCCCCGGGCTAGACTGTGAGCACTTTGCGTTTATGTTCGCGTTAGTGTTTTCTTTGTGTTTAGGTTGGGTTTGCGTTAGTGGTTGCGGTTTGATTTGGTTCGTTTTTGTTCTTTCTTTTTTCGTTTTTGTTTGTGTTTTTTTCTTTGGGTTTGTATTTGTGTTTTTGGTTGGTTTTGCGTTTGGATTTGGTTTGTTTTCGTTTCCTTTTTCGTTTTGTGTGTGTGTGTTGTTATTGGTTGGTATAGGTGTTTGTGGTTGTGGTTGGGTTTGTTTTTAGGTTTTTGTTTTCGTTTGCTTTTTGTTTGTTTTTTCTTTGTGTTTGTATTGGTGTTTGTGGTTGTGGTTGGGTTTGTTGTTAGGTTTTTGTTTTCGTTTGTATTTGTAATTGTGTTAGCGTTATGTTTGCGTTTTGTTGTTTTGGTTTTGGTTGGTTGTGGTTTGGGTGGGCAATGCCGGGTTTATGATGATTACTAAACAGGTGATGGTCTTTAACAGAAAGGTTTTTCACAGAAGCCAGAGCAGGGCCTGGCCGGGACGGCTAGTATTCTTATATAAAACAACAGGGGATGGGAACTTCATTTTAAATACTTAAAGTTTTAAAAATAGAATAAAATCTCGTAGAAAAAAGAATTGCACACCAAGTGAATGCCAATGAAATGTGCATAATAGTGCACAATATTATTAGTACTTTATAAATTTACATGCGTTTTTTTTGAGAAATCGGAAATAGCGTAAATTAATACTTCCAGTCAACGGAAATTACTCAAAATTTGACAGAAGGTAGAGAATTAGATCTTTTACTAACATGTGATATTTCATTTATCTATCTGAAATAGTACTCAAGTTATAGGCTTTTGAAAAATTCAAAGTAGAAAAAGTACCACTTCCGGATATCGGAAATCGCTCAAAAGTTGATCAGGATCTACGATTTTGATAAAATACTTATATATGAAATTTCATCAACCTAGCTGTAACGGTACTTCAGAAATCCTGTTTACACACACACACACACAGACACACACACAGACACACAGGCATACGGACAAGATTACAAAATAATGTTTTTCCGTATCAGTGAGGTGTAAAACGTCGAGATTTGTAAAAATCTCGATTTTTTTTTTTTTGCACGATTACAAGACTTTCTCTATACTTCGTATATACGAGATAGTAACAAGCAAACCAAATTATTTTTGAAAAACCCAGAAAAATAGATCTCTGTTAAATAGATAACATAGCATTATACTGAATTTTTTTTTAATGTATCTACAAGATAGACTAAATAACCTGCACACTTTGACCCTAATTTACATGATAAATTTTACTGCAGTTGTCTACCTTGTCAAGTTTCACTTAAATACATTTCTATGGTGTCAGCAACATACTAAACCAACGATCATGACAGTTGATTGACATTAAAGGGGAAATTACGGCCACGGTACAATGCAATTAATTCACAAATAGCAATTAATAACAAGCTACGTATGGTAAATAAATTGAATAACATTTTAAAAGAAGAAAGAAACCAAAAATGTACAATTTCTATTCCCTGTTTAATAAAAACAATGCTTTGATAATTTTTCAGTTTTCTTTTTTTTACTTTGAGACAAAATATTGTAAATAATAAAACTGACTTGTATACTTATAGGCCCTAACTGCTTTCTTAACAAAGAGATTATGGTATAATCTACAATCACATTCAACATGATTTAACTCTAGCATTTAGCATCGCATACACACACACACACACACACACAAACACACACACACACATACATACACACACACACACACACACACACAAACCATAAAAAAAACCATTAGACAATACTGTTCTTAGATTAACAATAAACCCATCAAGTTACTGTATTGATTCGTTACCATATATATATATATATATATATATATATATATATATATATATATATATATATATATATATATATATATAATTCGTATGTATACAGACACACACACACACACACACATATATATATATATATATATATATATATATATATATATATATATATATATATATATATATATATATATATATATATATAATTCGCCAACTTAGCTAGATGCTCATTGGTCGTTGTTTTAGAGTTAACGGTTTACTGATTATCCATACCTGGGTTAATAAAAGGTCGCCAATCATGTGCCCTCGTTTTAGAAACGTCAGGCAACCAGTGAAGCGTAGCCTGGCCAATAGAAATTTTTGCGCGTGACGAGGGCAGTCGCATGACGAGAGCATGCGCGTGAAACTATAAAAAAAACTAAACAAGATAATAAATGGATATTACATAATTGTTTCACAGTTAACAATTTGGAATGAAGAGTAAGGAGAAGCTGTACAAATAACCCAGCATCCTCCAGGGGAGATAACACTTCACTTGTAAGTAAAGAACCCAGATTTTAAAATGTTTTCATTGAATACTTTACAGAGCACGATTGCGATTTCTTTATTTAAACCATATTTGATTATACATTTAAAATTAAATGATTACACACAAAATAATATATCTAACCATACAAGTGTATTCATAGGCTTTTCCCCCTTTGTGTCCATACACATGGGGTAAATGAAGTAGAGTTGATCTGTTTCAATGGAAGATGGTGTGGTCAGCACTATGACAAGCTGTTTCCTTAATATAAGTTAGGTGCCTATTTGAGATGAGTAGAAATTCGAACTCAGGTTACCACGCTGTTCCCGACTCTTTGGGCGAATCCATTATAATAATGGCACAAATTTATTTGTTTGTTCAGTGTTTTCTTTTAAAATTGGCCTATTTGTTTGTTTTCATTGCCTACGTAACAGATTTAATATATACCCATTGTATGACCAAAACTAAATGTTTTTAAGTCCAAGTGAGAAATAGATTTAAATACAAGGAACCTAAAATCGTGCTTTAAAGTTTATTAAATAAATGTTTATTACTAAAATATAATTTTCAGAATTGAACAAGCAAAGTCTGAAAAAAATGAACTGCTTTGCGATCGTATGTCTGTACATGAGTGCTGTAGTACTCACACAAGCTGAGGGCAAGAGGGTCGTCATGTTGCCCGGCATTACCAAAAGTTATTTTATCCAACACGCCAACATAGGTCAGGCTCTGATAGACCTGGGTCACGAGGTGTGGATCTTCATGCCAGAGTACCTGAGTAACTCCAGCTTGATCAAATATAAAGACATCAAGATCTCAACGTTTGGGGAAACGCTGGGTGATATGGAGAAACAAATGTACACAAAGCTAGCGAATAACTTGTGGGAGGGGAAGCAACCATCTTTTCGTCAACACTTAGATGCAGCCAAAGCCTTTAGATACAATATCAACAGAATTTTAGATGAGAAATCTTTAATTGATAACATAATAAAGATCAAACCAGATTTTCTAGTGATTGATGGCTTTATGTTTAATCGAAACTTGTTTGTTATTCCGTACAAACTGAATGTTCCTTTCGCTATTGTTGGATTTGTGCATGACCTGACTATGCACAGAGTGCCATTCAGCCCTGCCGTAGAGCCACAAGTCCTAAACGGATTGACCAATAAAATGAACTTTTATGAAAGACTAACCTCAACCTTACTTACAATTCTTGAGCTAAGCTATGACGTATTTTCTGATAGTGACATTGTGACTAGAATAGCACCAGAAAAACTCTACACGACAATTAGTGAAATTATATTAAAAGCTGAAATTTTTATTACCGAACTTGATCACATCCTGGATTATCCCAGACCAATGTTACCCAACACAAAGCTGATTGGTGGATCTTCTGTCAGTGAGCCAAAGCCTTTGATTGGTGAGTTTAAACAGTTTGTTGAAAAATCTACCAATGGGATTGTCGTTGTGTCTTTTGGAACTAACGACTTTTCCATTCCTGAAGAAATTTTAACAAAACTGTCGTCCGCTTTTCAACAACTGAATCTGGACGTCATCTGGAGAGTAAAAAAGGCCTCTAATATTTCAACTAACATTCTAACGTCACACTGGATTCCACAGAATGACCTACTTGGACACCCAAAGACCAAAGTCTTTGTTTCCCATTGTGGTAAAAATGGACAATACGAGGCTTTGTATCATGCTGTTCCTATCCTCTGCCTCCCTATATTCGGTGACCAGTTTTATAATTCTAAAAGAATTCAGGTCAAAGGTTACGGCTTGAAAAAAGACATTAAAAACATTTCCACCCAGGAGATAATTAGTGCTATAAAAGAACTCGTTTATGACAGCAAATACAAACGAAATATTGAGAAAGCGTCCAAGCTATTCAAAGAACTTTACAAAGTTCCATCCAAAGAAGCCGCTTACTGGATAGATCACGTGATGAAGTATGGCGGAGACTATATGAGGTCATCAGGACAGGAAATGCCGTTGTATCAATTTCTTCTTCTTGACGTCATAGCTTTTATAGCTGCTGTTCTGTCTGCTATAATCTTTGTTTTTATCTTCACTGCCAGGTTTTTCTGCATATGTTTGAGTAATCACATAAAACGTAAGTCGAAGATGGAATAAGTTAGTATTTTCTATACGGTGTGTTTGGTGTTCATTAAACAGTGTGTATCTGTACATTAAATCAAAATGTCAAATATAAGAAACCAGTTGTTTCTTCATTTTTGTATAATTTTTGTGCAATGTATCTACCTACTGTCAATATCTGTAATTTAGGGCCAGATATCTATAGGTAAGGGTCAATATCTGTAATTTAGGACCAGATATCTATAGGCATGGACCAACATCTGCAGTTTAGGACCAGATACCTATAGGCAAGGGTCAACATCTGTAATTTAGGACCAGATATCCATAGTCTAGGACCAAGGTCCTGAGTAAACTACTCCGTTAATATATTTTTAAAATATCTGTATCATGCTCAAGTGGTTATTAAAAACATATTTGAATGACAATTAACTCTTTCAGTCTGGTGTGCCGATGAGACATTAGTGCTCTCACAAGTTTTATTACCAGATCAAAGTGTGACAGGAAGCTGTTCAAAATGTCCTGAGTCAACATCTGTGACCAGGTTATATCAATGTCACAATTAATTAGCACACCTCAACACTTTGACATCATAATTTGTCACTTTTACCCGGTGTGACAACTTGTGGCTGTGGTAAAGGATGGACTGGGAATAATTGGGGAAATAACAGTTTACTTGTTAAACGTTTTATTCTAATTATACGATCAAGTAAAATCCAGTGTCCGAGCGGCCTAGGACGAAGTACCAGAGTTCTATCGTCAAGCCAGACACAAGAAGCCAGGCTCCACTTACCGTGAGTTTGTGGATGGGAAAGAGTGAGATCTTCGAAAATAACATCTGAGCACCTGAGGCCACTTACTTTCTTACACATTGGAGAAGAGGGTCTCTACCAACTTTAAACTTTACATCGAGGATAAAGAATTCCACACCATATTTAAGGCTTTAAGACAGGCAGTACCTTCGGTTGGTCCATAACCTACCCAAGAGAATTGTAGCGTGAAATATGTTCTAGACCAGGGCAGCTACTGCACTCACAGGTCAAGCCAACCGTGACCAGGTATGTTTAGATAGCAAGTAGCCGGGTCATGTCAGTGTCACCAGCTTGGGTCATGTCAGTGCCAGCAGCCGGGTCATGTCAGTGCAAGTCAAATGATTGTCCGGTGAAAATGTTAGGTGAAAGTACGCTTTCACGCTTTCACATGGGACAGGTGAAGTAGAGCTTTACCTGTTTCAGTGACCTTGGTATATGAAGTATAGTGTGTTCAGCACAAAACGATTCAGCCTGTACCTTCCCTAACGTCAGTCAGGTACCCTTAAGAGCTGGGTGGACTCAAAGACGGCAATGTTCTACTGACACGAACACGGGATTCTAACTCGAGACTTTCAGGTTAGTAGTTGTATGCTCTACAATCCGACCACGCCATCCCGTGAATGGGTAAATGTCAGGTGTATGTCGGGCAAATGTCAGGGGACAAAGGTCAACATTTGTTGTAAAAATTTTGTCTGACCTTCAAAAATACTTTTACAAATATTTGATACTAATTCACGCCTATAAATCTAACTGAAACTCATACTCTAATCAAAATTTTAGCTTAAATAATTAACATCTTATATTTTTACTATCAACGATCTAATGCAAACTTTTCTCAGTTTACCTAACCTATTAATAATTCACTCAACTAAATAATGTTTTAAATACATTTATTTTTTTGCATACAAATCAAATGTGTTTTTCTTGGTCTTATAATTTTGATATTTAAGTAAAACAATATTTTCTAACATATTTCTTTGAATGCAAAACCATACCCTGCTTAATATTGACAAAATAGATATCACACACACACAATCTTATTAATCTAACTTGTGCAGCAAAAACCAATTCTGCTTATTTTCTTTTATTAATTTATTTTTATTTATTTCTTTAATAATGTGTAATAATAGTTAGATCTAGATATTTAAAAAAAAATCATTCCTTATTTGCCTTGGATCTTATATATTGATGCAATAAAATATACGAAAACCTGGCAATGATTACAAAAATAACAACTCCAAACACAACAGCTGCTATAAAAGCGATGACTTCAAAACAAATGTCATTCTTTCTTCTTTTTAACTGTCAGCTTTGTGAAATGTCATTCTTTCTTCTTTTTAACTGTCCGCTTTGTGAAAAAACGTCTGTAGCAAAACCTGACAATGAGGATAAAAATAACGACAACTCCAGACAGAACAGCTGCTATAAAAGCTATGACGTCAAGAAGAAGAAATTGATACAACGGCATTTCCTGTCCTGATGACCTCATATAATCTCCGCCATACTTCATCACGTGATCTATCCAGTAAGCGGCTTCTTTGGATGGAACTTTGTAAAGTTCTTTGAATAGCTTGGACGCTCTGTCTATATTTATTTTATATTGTTTGTTATTGGCGAGTTCATTTATGGTGCTAATCAGTTCTTCTTCCGTAATTTTCCTGATGTCGCCCTTAAGTCCAAACCCTTTAAAACGAATTCTTTCTGAGTTGTAGAACTGGTCGCCATAGATTGGAAAACATAAAATTGGAACTGCGTTATATAACGCCTCGTATTGTCCATTTTTACCACAATGGGAAACAAAGACTTTGGTCTTTGGGTGACCAAGTAGGTCATTCTGTGGGATCCAAAGTGACGTCATCAGCTTATCCGGAACAGGTGAGGTGACGTTCGCACGCCAGACAACGTTCAGGTCCAGTTGTTTGAAGGCAGACACCATCTTGTTTATGATATGTGAAGGAAACGGAATTTCGTTTCCTCCAAAAGACACAACGACAATTCCATTGGTTGATTCATCAACAAACTCTTTGAATTCACCAATCAAAGGCTTTGGCTCACTGACAGAAGATCCACCAATCAGCTTTGTGTTGGGTAACATTGGTCTGGGATAATCTAGGATGTGATCAAGTTCGGCAATAAAAATTTCAGCTTTTAATATAATATCACTAATTGTCGTGTAGGGTTTTTCTGGTGCTATTCTAGTCACAATGTCACTGTCTGTAAACATGTCATAGCTTAGCTCTAGAACTGTACGTAAGGTAGAGCTTAACCTTTCATAGAAGGTCATTCTGTTGTTAACTCTGTATGGTACTGCTGGTTCTACCGCAGGGCTAAATGGCACTCTATGCATTACAAGATCATGCACAGTGCCTATCACAGCAAAAGGAACACCTAATTTACATGGAAGGACAAAAATATTTCTTAGAAATTTAAATCCATCAACGACCATAAAATCTGGATTGACATTTTTGATGTTGTTGATAAAAGTCTGGTCTGACAAAACTTTGGCGACAAGTTCTTTCATAACTTTAGTTAAAGCTGGCGCGTTGTTACTGTTGGTGTCAATGCCCTTCCAGAAGTTATCAAACATAGATGTGTTGACCGATACTCGCTGAAGAATATCCCCGAGATCTTCCCCAAACTTTAAGACTTTTATGTCCTTATTCTTGATCAGGTTGCTGTGAGTCAGGTACTCTGGCATACAAATCCAGACCTCGTGACCCAGGTCGATCAGAGCCTGGCCTATGTTGGCGTGGTAGAGGAAATAACTTTTGATCAGACCAGGGAACATGACGATTCTTTTACCTCCTGTGTGGTTGAGGACAGCAGCAGTGATGAACAAAGTTAGGAGATGGAGTCCTTTCATTGTAGAATTTCTCGTTTGTTTTCGTCTAGAAATAAAAATGGATTTGGTTTTTAATGTTATTCTAATGCTTGATATTTGTATAAGTATGTTTGTTCTGTGTAGCAGTATAAAATCAATGCATATTCATAACTTGACATGATTTTTAGTGCTACTACCTAGACAGTTTTTTGCCATTGGATAGATAATTAAGTGCTCTCAACTGGACAGTTAAGTGCAAATAAGTTACAAATTTTACGTCAGCATTCCATGACCATTGCATCAATTTAACTCTACATAAACGAAATTAAACTTTGCCATAGTATGTAAACTTTAAAAAAAAAATTACAATAATACAATTAATACAATACATGACTAAGTGTTATAGCGCGAAAAATAATACTTTATGTGGGAAATTGTAATTAAAAAAAAATTAATTAAGCTTTTAATAATCAAGTCAAATGTGAAATCACATCGCATTGTCATGGGATCTAGACCAACGGTTCAAGATGGTTTTTTTAAAATGGTCCATTAGAAATGGTTGAAATACTGATTGTCAATTTCAACCTCTAAGCACGACAGATGGACTAAAGGAAAGCAAGTTAAATACAAGCTTTTAAAAGATGAATAACAAAGTTTTAATAACAAGCTGTTATGTAATAATGCAATAAAAAGTAGAAAATAAATGATTTTCTTTAAATATATAACAACACACTTCCATTTTAATAACCATAAAGAAAAACGTGGGTCACATATTATCTATTGAATCCTTCACTAATATTTAGGAAGAGACCTACACTTTAGTAAAACGTTAGTGTATTATCATATATTTAAAGCAAGTCATTTATTTTCTCCTTTATTGTGCAATGTTACATAAAAGCTTATTATCAAACGTTTTTTATGCATTTGTTTTAGTACTTTAAAATTCTTAATACAACAGAGTTGCATGACTAAAACTATTCCGCACCAAATGAACATGAAAATAAGCTTATAATAGTGCTGAATTATAGTATGCCTCTACTTTATTTAGTAAATTTTAATTAATTCAATTTTATTTTAAATTAGTAATTCAAATCAGTCACATTTGATTTCAGATGGTATCGTCATCGGATGCCAAGTTTGAAACGGATCGGTCAGTTAAAAGTGCTCGAAAATTTGCTCGGTAATTTCGATCTATGACGACAGAAAGATAGAAGAAAGCAAAACGCGGCAGAGGAAGCAAGTTAAATAAAAATCTTGTAAAAATTAGAATAGATAATTTACACAAAAATTTACAGGTATTGTACTTACATAAATGTCGTATGCTACGTTATGTCTCCTTAAAAGAACGCAGTAACTAACGTGTACATCAGGAACCTGTCACCTGAATCGTTTGACGAGGCTATCACACAAGTCCATTGCCTGAGATTAACTAGTTGGCGTGACACAAACGTCTATCACAGAACTGCGCAAACGGTGTCAAAAACAGTAATAATTCTTGCATGGTAATCGGTTAACGCATACAAGAAAATTTTGATAGCGGAGTTGTGATAAAGGTCGTTCTATGGCCGACAGGTGGTAGTAACTGTGACTTGTATGTTGGATGTCGTTACTTTACTAGTCCCACTTCCCCACCTCATCCCTCAATAATTTTGACTTGTCAGCTTGTATGTTGGATGTCGTTACTTCACCAACCCCTTGACCCACTTCTTTCAGCTGTTATAAGTAGGACGCTTATAATCAGGACATCATTGTTTGCTTAAATGCTATATATAAAAACTCAGTGTACCCAGTGTAATATACGAAACATCAGTGTCCACTTAAGTGTGATATATAGTGCGTCTCTGTCCACATGTGATTATAGTGTCCGCAAAACTCTACAAATTTCTCGCAATCTGCTATCACCCCACCCCCACATCTGATACCCCAACCCATTTAACTATATATAAATTGTGAATTTGGGACCGCTGAGTTGTGAGTGTTTATCTATGATGTCAACTGCCCTAGGCATCTTATACTGTACCAAGTTTTTTTTAAACAAAGATTACAGTCTGTTTTATTTGAATGGACCACAGGATCATCATCTTAACAGGTGGTAACTTTAAAAACTGTCAAGGGGCGCTACCACAGCCAGCAGGCCCAAACCAGGTCATCAGATTTAAGCTATTCAGCCACGGTCTAAAGAAGACGAACATTGGTAGGTCGTGGAACCGTTGGTTACCTGAGGACTTCAGGACTCAGGACAATAAGGACAAGTTCTTCTCAGCACCGGTGGACCGTGACGGATTTGTGTCGTACTTACAACACCTATCACACCGCTCATTTGGAGCGTGACGGATTCGTGTAAGATGTGACCTACCCGTCTGATTAGTGATTTAACTCTGCGTTTCCCAATTTTCCAGTCTTTTTCCAAGGTGTGCATTATTTAACATGTTTTGGGTAGCGATGTATTACAACTTTTTTTTTATAAATTATAATACATTAATGTATTTAAAATTCTTTAAATTAAGGTTATAAAATAGTTTTGAACGTACAAAGTAAATATTCTTTCGATGTTTTTTTCTTTTAAAACGTACATAATAATTGATACGGCGTCAGGACAAAGGTACTTGTAGATTAATTAGGTCAACTACGGGCTACGTAACGAAATAAAAGCACGATCAATCTAAACAGAGGATACGATTAAGGCTTTATTTTGATTACTAAACTATGTTTACACAATAGTAAAGGTTTCACAAGTTTTAAAAAGATTAGTTATTACTCACACATAAATATAGATATATTTGCTCACACACAAATACACACACACATACACACACACACACACATATATATATATATATATATATATATATATATATATATATATATATATATATATATATATATATATATATATATATATATATATATATATATATATATATATATATATATATATATGGGTACGATAAGATATATCAAAATTTAACAAAGTATGTTTATAGATAAAGACTTAGGTCAGAAAACGTATTAGGCTTGAGTCAAAGTGTAACGAACAACTAGCACACCTTGAGTAGCTTGTTGTACCAACGGTAGCACCTAGCACACATTGAGTAACGGCAGAACATACCACACCTTGAGTAACGTGTAACAGTGTGCCCATAGTCAGAGAAGATCAAAACATTACACATGTCTGTCGTTTGAGTTTCTTGGTTGATATAGTTTTATGAGTTTTATGTATAAGTATGTTGTATAAGAACAATATAAACATAACATTTAATAAAGCACCATGAAAAATAACACTTTTATATAGTGTTACTGATCGTGTAAATATTATGATAATTGAGAATGACGTACGACCTATTCTCTAGGCCAGCATATACAATAAAAATATTATTTTTGTTATATAAACAAAAGCAACGTCGGCCCACGGTGGTGATTGTAAATTATTTAAAAAAAAAATAATATCAATTTCTACAAACAAGCTGGACTCACTAAATTCACTGATAGGCCTAGTCACACCCTCAACATATTACACATTATTATTTTTTTTTAAAAATTCAGTTCCTATAAACAAGCCGGACTCCATAAAAGCACAAATCAAAATATTACTTTTTTTACATTTTTTAAACTTAGACCCAGCTATTCGTTTATAATAAATGATGACCAAAGATTCTTTCAGGCATTTATTAGTGTATGTGAATATGTGTGTGTGTGTGTGGGGGGGGTCATTACCCCAATCTTCAAAGCACAACCCGAATAAGAAATTATATATGTTGTGTATGTTGTGTACACCCACACCCCCGAAATGTAAGTACTCAACCGATCCTGGTTGTTTTAAGTAGCTCACGTAGAAAAAAGTCTGAAAGAAACTCTGGTGACGAAACCTAATAAAATAGAATGTAAATTGCTTTGGAAAAAATATCTTATCGGTCCACATTAATATTTAACATTTTACCAAAACTACTCAATATCGTCAATACAACAAATGTCATTCTTTCTTCTTTTTAACTGTCCGCTTTGTGAAAACACGTCTGTAGCAAAGCCTGGCAATGAGGATAAAAATAACGACAACTCCAGACAGAACAGCGGCTATAAAAGCGATGACGTCAAGAAGAAGAAATTGATACAACGGCATTTCCTGTCCTGACGACCTCATATAGTCTCCGCCATACTTCATCACGTGATCTATCCAGTAAGCGGCTTCTTTGGATGGAACTTTGTAAAGCTCTTTGAACAGTATGGATGCTTTCTCGATATGTCTCTTGCATTTGTTGTCAAAGGCGAGTTCTTTTATGGTGGTGATCAGTTCTTCTTCCGAAATTTTTCGTATATCACCCACAAGTCCAAAACCTTTAACACGAATTCTTTCTGAGTTGTAGAACTGGTCGCCATAGATTGGAAAACATAAAATTGGCACTGCGTTATATAACGCCTCGTATTGTCCATTTTTACCACAATGGGAAACAAAGACTTTGGTCTTTGGGTGACCAAGTAGGTCATTCTGTGGAATCCAAAGTGACGTCATCAGCTTATCCAGTGCAGGTGAGGTCACGTTCGCACGCCAGACAACGTTCAAGTCCAGTTGTTTGAAGGCAGACACCATCTTGTTTATGATATGTGAAGGAAACGGAATGTCATTTCCTCCAAAAGACACAACGACAACCCCATTGGTTGATTTTTCAACAAACTCTTTAAACTCACCAATCAAATGCTTCGGCTCACTGACAGAAGATCCACCAATCAACTTTGTGTTGGGTAACATTGGTCTGGGATAATCTAGGATGTGATCAAGTTCGACAATAAAAATTTCAGCTTTTAATATAATATCACTAATTGTCGTGTAGGGTTTTTCTGGTGCTATTCTAGTCACAATGTCATTATCAGTGAAGGGGTCATAGATGAGCTCTGCGATCGTCCTTATCGTTAGAGATAAACGTTGCATGAAGCTCATTCTGTTGTTTATCTTTTCTGGAAGTTTCGGCTCTACGGCAGGACTAAATGGAACCCGGTGCAAAATGAGCTCGTGAAAACATCCAACAACCACAAAAGGAATGTCCAGCTTGTACGGCAGGACAAAAATATTTCTGAGGTATAAAAACTCATCAATAACAAGTAAATCTGGTCCGATATTTTTAACATTGTCTATAAATGTTTGGTCAGTTAAAACCAAGTTGATGAATTTCTTAAACTCTACTGCCGTGGTTAAAAGTTCGTTAATGCTGATTTCGTTGCCGTCCCAGAAGTTGTCGTAGATTTTGGCACTTTTAAAGACTTGTGCTTCCATGTTGCCTAAGGTCTCACCGAACTTTAAGATCTTGATGTCTTTGTACTTGATCAGGTTCTTGCCGCTCAGGAATTCTGGCACACAAATCCACACCTCGTGACCCAGGTCAATCAGAGCCTGGCCTATGTTGGCGTGGTACAAAAAGTAGCTTCTGATAAGGCCAGGGAACATGACGATCTTCTTGCTCTCCGTGTGTGTGAGATACAGAACACAGAAGCACAGAGTAAGAAGCTTGAGTACATACATTTTCTTTGTCCAACTTTCAAGCTTTGCTGTACAACTGTAAAAAAAATTGTAAATTCTCCTGTTTTTTTAAAATATGAATAAACTTATAAATAGGAGGCGATCAATCACTCAAACATCCCCTGAAAAAGGTAATGGGTTTGTTTAAATGTTGCATCGGGAAGGATGAAAATTATCCAATTTAGTTTTATTTGGACACTTGCTTATAGTAAAACACATATGTAAATGGAAAGGTTATGAAAACTTACAGCACTTAACGAATGTATCCTTCAATATCCAGTAGTCTTAGAATGAATTTAGCCGCACAGTTGTCGTAAAATTTCTGACAGTTTTGGCATCACCCAAGCTTTAAGTACGTAAAGTTTAAGCACTGGGTTGTTTGGAGTTTGGTGTAACTAAGCCTAAACTAAGCTGCTTGAACGATTTTTTGTACCTTAGTCCACTTTAGCAATACGACACCTACCCTACCAGTTTCACGTTGATCTTGGAAAGAACAATATATTTTATTGTTGGGGGGGGGGGGGGGGAGGGGAGGAGAAGTGGTAATACCTTCATAGCAGAAGGCAATAGTCTGGAACTGCAACTCTTTCCGCATGACTGCCAAAGCTTGACATATGAGTAATGCTATAACACAGATAGTATTTTTTTTAAGTAAAATATAATCTGATCGTCAAGAAAAACACACTTGGCTAATATTTTTTTTAAATCATTGTAACAGTAGTTGAGTAGTGTAGGTGCAATTTTAGAGCACAATACCACTATCTTGGGAGCCTTGTGTTCTGTACCTGTCAGTGGCGTAGCCAGGATCGTCTCAAGGTGGGGGTTCCAATTTTTACCCGGGGACAAGCTTTCGATTTGCACCCCCCCTCAAACTTTAGATTTGTACCCCCCCCCCTCAAACTTTCGATTTGCACCCCCCTCAAACTTTCGATTTGCACCCCCCCTTCAAACTTTCGATTTGCACCCCCCTCTCAAACTTTCAATTTGCACCCCCTCATACTTTATATATATACCGAGGGGTCTATGGGGGGGTTATGACCCCCCCCCGCCTACCCCCCCTCCCCCCCCCCCCCCGCCTACGCCACTGGTACCTGTGATAAAGTCCAGAAGACGCCGGTTGAGTTCGTCCAGCTCCGATGGGTACCTGGCACAAATTTGACAACAGTAAGCCGTCTCGGTGTGTCGTCCATAAAAATCTCTTACATAGTTATAGCGGCATTTGTTTTTTACAAAAGAAAGCAAGTTTGTTTTATTCTTTTAATTTGCCATGCACTGAAGAGGTTATTTGAAAAGATTATTATCACATAGGTTTATGAAATTAATTTGATTTATTAAATAGTACAATCTGTTAAAAACTTTATACACTGTGCAGTGTTGTTATAGTCTGTGTTTATAATGAACATGCTTATATAGACCCGTTGTAGGCCCGGACTGGTGCTGGTAGAAAAGTGCATGACAACAACTGGTGGCAGCTGAGATTTCCCCAACATTGTGCAGGGAAACACTGAATGTGTACCAGGTGGCGTCAGCACCTAGGGGTATATGGGAAGCGTCGAGACGCGAGAAGGTGGAGGGTGTTTCAAGTGATGACGCTATCGTAAGAGCCTCTGAATGTACGAACGTATACCTTTTTTTAGTTGGTCCCAGTTCCAAGGTTATTGTGATGACGGGAAATTGCAGAAATTCGAATAGTTTTAAATAGCCATTGGTCAAGTTGATAGTATCCAATGAGAATAACGTCAAGTGACGTGACTAGATACACATAGGACAAGCTTAAGCATTGTGAGAAAGTTAGTTTTATGAGTAGGATCAGTAAAGCCAGTAGGTAGGAAAGCTAGCGAAAAAGTAGACAGTACAAGTCGTAGAAAGTTGTCAAACAGCCTTTCAGCAAATAGCACTTAAAGCTATAATAGTTTTATAGTAGTATTGACAGTCGGCAATAGAGATGTGTAGTGGAATTTATGTAAACATTTTACTAGATAAAAAAACTGAGTAACATGTGTTTACAACATACTTCAGTATTTTGAATATAGCTCCACAAGCCAGGCACTTGAGAAAAGGTGAAAAGTTTCCCTGACCAACTTTTGTAAGCATACACCACAATACTAATCATAACAAATTATGGTGTGTTGCTTTAGCATTCTTTGTAGTTTAAGAATCAGATGAATCAGTGCTGAGTTAAATTGTAAAATGGGGTTTATGGTACAGATACAAATCTAAAACAATGTCTTTAATATAAAATTAATCAACTGATTATTAAAACAAATTTGCATATTCAAGTTTTACGAATCCTTTACCCCGTTGTGTCTTAACCCACAGTGTAATCAGTCAATGAGATAATTTCTTTAATTGTAAGCTGTTTTTCTGTTTATTTTTCAATGGCTGTTTGCTGAACCGTCCTAAACAAAACCTGACAATGAGGATAAAAATAACAACAACTCCAGACAGAACAGCTGTTATAAAAGCGATGACGTCAAGAAGAAGAAATTGATACAACGGCATTTCCTGTCCTGATGACCTCATATAGTCTCCGCCATACTTCATCACGTGATCTATCTAGTAAGCGGCTTCTTTGGATGGAACTTTGTAAAGCTCTTTGAATAGCTTGGACGCTTTCTCGATGTTTCTTTTGTATTTAAAATCAAAGGCAAGTTCTCTTAAAATACTGGTCAGTTCTTCGACGGTTATTTTTCTGATGTCTCTCCAAAGTCCAAAACCTTTGATGCTAATCCTAATATATAAATCCCCACGTTCGCACATCTCTCTCTCTCTCTCTCTTTCTCTGTCCGCAAAAAATTTTCGCCGGACATCACGTCAGAATCGGCAGCGATATATCGAGAACTTTTTACGGACTTTTGTTGAAAAAAATATGTTAGATGTTTTAAATGTATAACCACAAAATTATTTAAAGAAGAAAAATAAAAAATAAAGGCGTATTCGAATATAGAGAAACAGTATTATTTATGCAACCGGAAAAGCATTAATATATGTGAAAAAGAAAGCATAAAACTGTGACGTCACTATTGCTTATACATTAACTAATGACGTCATCTGCCGTGTTTAGAATGAAAAGAAATGAACTATTTCATTCAAATTTGATTTAGATCTACGTACTCTATGAAATGTATACAATACAATTTTTCCGGCCTAAACTCATAAAATTTATTTTATGTATTTGGATTCTAGATCTAGAGATTCTAGATCTACACTAAATCTAAATCTAAATCTACGCAATAACTAGATCTAGACGTAGACGCTAAGATCTAGATTTAGACTCTAACTTCTCTAAAATCAATTCCAAAAATAAATTTCTATATTAGGACTAAACTATTTCAAGACTTATTTATTTTATACAAAATCTTTGTTATGAACTGGCTAATTTGGGATAAAAAATTAATTTGAAAGAATAGGCATATTCGCGTAAGTTAAGATTTTAAAATACGTCTTTCATTCTCCGTATTTTATAAGGTGCATAAATAGCGGAGATGTTAGTGTACATTAAACCACGCAGGTGGTGCGGGTTCGAGACACAGCAAGTCAGCTTGGTTAATGTATTCTTTTTTATTATGCTCGGGCTAAGCTTAAAAAAAAATTCTTTTAGGAATCTAGCTCTAGATCTAGATTGTCGGGTGTCCGATAGGGCACTTCCCGGCGCCGCAGGCGCTTCAAATTTGGCATGATCTTGCCTTGGTGCGACAGAACACGGGGGCCGGTTGGCCGAAAAGTCTACGATGTGGGGGTCAAAACTGACCTCGACTGACCGGTACCTTATATGAGCTATAAATCGAAAAAAAATGTCCACGGAGGAACCTCTTCATAACTCTTGAGGTCGTAGACCGACCTTCGGGCGAATTAATTAAGCATTCAAATTCTCAATGTTTTCGAAAGCCTAAGCGAAGCTGGGCAGCATCCCTAGTTCTTTTAGAGTTGTAGAACTGGTCGCCATACAGAGGTAAACAGAAAATAGGAACAGCATGGTACAAAGCCTCGTATTGGCCATTTTTACCACAATGGGAAACAAAGACTTTGGTCTTAGGATGACCAAGTAGGTCGTTCTGAGGAATCCAGTTAGAAGTCATAATTTTAGTAGATACAGGTGAAGTAGTGTTGACTTTCCAAATAACGTCATACTCAAGTTGTTCAAAGGCAGACGCCTGTTTAGCTGAGATGTGTTCAGGAAATAAAATATCAGTTCCCCCAAAGGACGCAACGACAATCCCATTGGTTGATTTTTCAACAAACTGTTTAAACTCACCATACAAATCCACACCTCGTGACCCAGGTCGATCAAAGCCTGGCCTATGTTGGCGTGGTAGATAAAATAACTTTAGGTAATGCCGGGAAACATGACAATCCTCTTGGACTCAACTTGTGAGAGGATTAAAACATTGATACACAGACACATGATCGCAAGGACGTTCATGATTGAGTTTTAAGTTTTTGGGGCTTTAATCTTTAGCTTTCTGAATCCATGTATTTATTGAAACCTTTTAAAAATGAAAAATAATATTTATTGTAGCAAATAAAAAGATTAAACTAAATATGTATTGAAATAATTTAAAAGAAAAATAAATATTTTGAACAATTTATTAGTTATTTAGAAAATAATTAAAAACATAAAACTAAATATCTTTTGAAGAAGTTTTAAAGATGAAACTTTAAACATATTTAAACAATTAAATTTGAAGCCAAAAATATATTTTTAAATATTTAATAGATGTATATGAAACCAAGTCTTGAAAACAATTTAAAGGATTAAACTAACAGTATACTGAAAAAATATTCAAGATAAAACAGAATATTTATTGAATAATGTTGAAAGCACAAAAATGCTGAAACCAAGAATATATTTGATGAAACCAAACATTTTTCAATTAAAACAGTTTAAAAGATGAAACCAAATATTTATTGAAACTATTCAGTATTTAGTATATTAAAAAATACACTCAACAAATATCTGCTCTTGAAAAAGTTTGGTTGAAATTATATATTCTGTTTAAATATAGAACAATTTTGATGAAACTATCGATACTCTTAACAAACTAATTTGAGTTACTTGATTTTAAAAAATCCTTTTTGTTACTAATTTAGTTTTTAATTTACTACATCCAATTGACTATCTTAAACGTACTTTTATACGTTAGTTTATTAAAATACTAATAATTTTTTAAACGTAGATTTGAAATTGTCAAACCATTCTACCCCTCCTACATTGATTAAACATAATTTTTTTTTAAAGATTAAAAAAAAATTATACTTACAAGTATGAAGTGATTTCCACAAGCATATTATTTGGTAACAATTTGGTTGCTTGCGTCCTTTCCACTCACTCTTCTAACATCTAATGAGCAAGTAAGAATTTTGTTGATTGCAACCTGTTTGCAATTAACTTACTTTAATTTAACCGATACCCACACCTGGTCTCATCACGAGACAAAAATTACCATCGGCTAGTAGTTACTTAATTACTTATTTTGTCTGAGTTTTTATTAACGCGGGTAAATGACCATGTAATAAATAACTAAGCTGTGCATGTAAATGGCGAATTGGCGGTCTTTTCAAGCGATGGGACATCCCTAGACCATTTAACTCCAATTGCTATCTAACACATACATATAATAGCATCTGAGTCTACTTACCTCAGCTAAGTACCACACGTTAGACAGGGACGGTTTGTTTGGATGGAAGAGCTAATGGCTACAAAGCCGAAAGTCTCGAATTTAGATTGAGTTCATAAAACGTTACTGAGACCAACCAACTCTGATGGGTACCTGACTCAAGTTAGGGAAAGTAAAGGCTACTTGGCAAAGAGCTCACCACAATACCCTTACATGTACTGAGGTCACAAAAACAAGCGAAGTCTTCTACATGGGTTGCCAGGTCACATATTTGCCCTCCTTCAACTCCATAGCACATCGCTGTTTTACTAATCTGTTATTTAGTTCACAATAGGCTTGAAATGTCTATGCAATTATACTAAATATTTTTAGAAATCGTTTAAAAATATGGCATGCGATAAAATTGTAGTTACAATTTTAAACATTATATTTGTTTGGGAAACATAGATTACGATAGTTTTCATATTTTTTTTACTGAATATAAGCTGTTGAAAAGCTGTTTAGAATTATTTTATTAATTAAAAAATAAAAACGCTCTCAACCAATCCTTGATGTCACCCGTAGTGGCCAGGGAAAGTAAAACAATGACAATTACAACAATGTTTTTCCATGATAAAATACAGACAAAGGTAAATGGGATATAGTCTGGTAGTTAATTGGTATTAAATAATATAACATCCCTTATCACCACAACACCATGACTCTACTAAGCCAAATTAAAAATAAAAGTTTTAGCCAAATTACTATAAGATTATTTGTTTGAATATTTCTAGTCTCAATAAAACTGGGAGTCATTTTCTACTTATTTCACAAATGTTATAAAATATTCAATTTTGGTTGAAACATATATATCTGGCAACAACCGCTGAATATAAAGACATATTATTTTTAATCTTGTTAGATATTTCATTAGTCCTTAAAAATCAACTAAAGATTACTAAATTCAATAATAAAAAGGGACGAGATAACCAGATTAAATACTAGCCATCGCTAGATTAGCTAGCCGACAACTGTATGTCATGGCTAGTTGGTTTATTGCCTACTAGACCAGGGACGAGGAAAGGGCAAGTGGATGTCTTTGTAAGTAATCTATACTGCTATACACAGTGTAAGAGTTTTCATAGGCACCAATGCTTTTGTTTAGTGGGATGTATCGAGTGGTGGCAAGTGATGAACGTCATCCTAATCCCCTGCACTGTTACCTTTTTTTTTAATTTTTGTCTCGACTGCTGTTTTATTCAGAGGCGTAGCGATGGGGGGGGGGGGGGCAGGGGGGTACATATGTCCCCGGGCGCCGACCTTAGGGGGCGCCAAATGGGTTGTAAAAACAAATTAAAATGTCATTTTCGCTGTATTTTTGCAGTTTGAGGGGAGGGGTGCAAATCGAAAGTGTGAGGGGGGATGCAAATCGAAAGTTTGAGGGGGGGGGGTGCAAATTAAAAATTTGCTCCCGAGGGGGGCACCAAATTGAAAGTTTGTCCCCGGACGCCGGGAAGGGTCGCTACGCCTCTGGTTTTATTCTCTTTCATTTATTTTATCGCGTACAACACTTTATGTCTGTCACTCGATATAGAACATAGGATGAGGGGTGGGGGTGGGTTATATCTAAGCCAACTAATGGCAGAGTGGCCAATAGACTCCCTTCCCCACTTCGACAGGTTATTATATATATATATATATATATATATATATATATATATATATATATATATATATATATATATATATATATATATATATAATAGTAAATAAACAACGAAGGCTTGAAGTTAAATGTTTAGGTTTATTTCAAGACTTTGGCCTTATACATACCATTACAATTTTATACATTTGCTTTAAACAAAGTAAGAAATTCTTTACTTATTCCAATTATAAAATTCAAATTATCAGGTAAAAGGTTGTAGTTTTTATGATTGCTCTGGGTATCGTTTTGATTGATTATGAAATGGGAATAAATTATTTGTTGTAAAACCTACTGTTTAAAAAGTTGTGAACATCTGATGATATTCTAATCAACTATCGGCAAAATGACTATTTTAAAACAAGTTCTACAAAAATACAAGTATAACACATAATCTACCGTGGGTAGTAAAATAGGAATCTTAATCAAAGAAACAAGTTGAGTTCTAGGTGAATCCAAATAGTGAATGGACCTTTTCTTTTAGCTACTGCTAAAACCATTTTTTTGGCAACACGATGATTTTTTTTTTACTAGATTTCGTTCATACATGACGCTACTTAGTGTTATACGATGTGTATTTCCCAACCCCATTTAGGCATACATAGCCGCAAAAAGCTAGCTACACTTTGTATTAGCGTTTTAAAATATTTCCTTGACTTTTACCCCTCCTACCCTCATCGTCCCACGATTCTTAATGCTTTCTGATTGAACGACCACACTAATAAATTGTACTAAAGACGTTACGGATTATTTATACAAATACTTTGAGCGCTAAAAGTGATGAATACGTTGTATATGTGTTACAGTTTTCTTGACAGTTCTTACCAATTGAACTTTGTGACTTCTTGCAAAACCTTATTACATTGTTTTTGTTTCAGGTTAATGATATGTTTATACTTTTTGTAAGAAAGTATGGCTAAGAAACGATCAGTCAAGCAACTTAGTAACATTACGTTGTTTATATTTTCTCATGTGTTACAAATAGTTGTGCTTTATCCGAGGACGCAATAAATGTACTGAGATATAGAGTTTTGTGTTGTGGAGTATTAATTAATCTTTAAACTTCAGATATAAATTATATTTTTATAGTTTAGAAAATAAATGTCAACTCATAATTTGATTACATTAAGACAAAAATGCTAAAACATGACATATTTTATTATTATTCCTTTTTAGCTTTTGATCTTATGTACTGTGGCATCCACCTAAACAAAAACCTGACAATGAGGATAAAACTAAAGACAACGCCAGACAGAACAGCTGTAATAAAAGCGATGACGTCAAGAAGGAGAAATTGATACAACGGCATTTCCTGTCCTGATGACCTCATATAGTCTCCGCCATACTTCATCACGTGATCTATCCAGTAAGCGGCTTCTTTGGATGGAACTTTGTAAAGCTCTTTGAATAGTTTGGACGCTTTCTCAATATTTCTTTTGTATTTTTTGTCGTTGTCGAGTTCTTTTATGGTGTTAGCAATTCTGTCTGCTGAGATCTTTCTTATATCTGCAGCCAACCCGTAACCTTTGATAACAATTCTTTCAGCATTGTAGAACTGGTCGCTGCATAAGGGTAGACAGAACATAGGCACTGCATGGTACAACGCCTCGTATTGGCTATTTTTTCCACAATGTGTAACAAAAACTTTGATCTTTGGGTGACCAAGTAGGTCATTCTGTGGAATCCAGTGTGACGTCATAATTTTTGTTGGCACAGTGGAGGTCATGTTGACTCGCCAAATGACGTTAAGGTCGAGAAGTTCAAAAGCAGACGAGAGTTTGGCTAAAATATTTTGAGGGAAAGGAATTTCGTTACTTCCAAAAGACACAACGACAATCCCATTGGTTGATTTTTCAACAAACTGTTTAAACTCACCAATCAAAGGTTTTGGCTCACTGACAGAAGATCCACCAATCAGCTTTGTGTTGGGTAACATTGGTCTGGGATAATCTAGGATGTGATCAAGTTCGGTAATAAAAATTTCAGCTTTTAATATAATATCACCAATTGTCGTGTAGGGTTTTTCTGGTGCTATTCTAGTCACAATGTCACTATCAGAGAATACGTCATAGCTGAACTCTAGAATCGTACGTAAGGTAGAGGTTAGTCTTTGATAGAAGGTCATTTTGTTGGTTACTCTGTCTGGTACTGTTGGTTCTTCAGCAGGACTAAATGGCACTCTATGAACAATTGGGTCATGCACAAATCCCACAACAGCGAAAGGAACATCCAACTTGTATGGAATAACAAACAAATTTCGATTAAACATAAAACCATCAACGACCAACAAGTCTGGGTTGATGTTCCTGATCTTATCAATAAAAGATTTCTCATCTAAAATTTTGTTAATTAATTTTCTAAATTCTCTGGCAGCAGAAACGAATGTAGCCAATGGCGCATCTTTGTTATTCCAGAAATTATCAACTAGCTTGGAGTTTTTAAAAATCTCTTCCTCCATGTCCCCCAGCGTTTCCCCAAACGTTGAGATCTTGATGTCTTTATGTTTGATCAAGCTGGAGTTACTCAGGTACTCTGGCATGAAGATCCACACCTCGTGACCCAGGTCTATCAGAGCCTGGCCTATGTTGGCGTGTTGGATAAAATAACTTTTGGTAATGCCGGGCAACATGACGACCCTCTTACCCTCAGCTTGTGTGAGTACTACAACACTCATGTACAAAGACACAACAGCTGAGACAAACATTTTATCTTCATCCAACGTTTCTCATCCAAATTCTCTGAAATTTCTGAAACTAAAAATTTTAAATTTAAGCAACAAAGTCTTTCACCGTTGTTTAAATTAACTTTTCTTCCCGCACAATTCTTAACGTGATCTACAATAAGAACTTTCATTAAAATACCTTTTTAAAATTTACAATTAAAATGTCGAAAAGGGTTTATAAAAATATTTATTTTACAATGCTTTTCTGTTTCAATTTTTTTATGCACAAAACACTGCAATTAAAATAAATTCAGGTGTTTGATCGTCTAAATTATTGAACTTTTAAAATGGGTTTTGTCAGAGAGGCCTAGATTAAATTTAATGTTTTGGTTAATTAAAAGTTAATTATCTTTAAAACATCTTATCCTTAAATATACATATTTGTAAACTTTTAAAAATTAATTTGGTCTAATGAAATTGTTGTGAAACCCATTCATATGCATTGTGGAGGGTTCTGTATCTTTATAACTTTTCAAAGAAAAATAATTTCATTTTTATTGTTAGATTTATGAAATACCTGATACTTTTTAATATGCTCTCATCTTGAAAAATTAATAGTCTTAATCTTACTTACAACCAAATAGCCTCTGGCGTTGTTTTTGGTTGTCTGATCTCTTTCTCATTCACACTTTATCAGAATTAATAATTCGCCTTTAATTTTTTAATAATTGCAGTATGGTTTTAACAAGCTCGTTGAGTCTTTATAGTTTCACGCGCCTGGTGTCGTCACGTGATGACAATAACATGCACCATTTGTTGATGTTTTAAGGTGCACCTCCAAATTATAAAATGTACTGATAAAAAGGGCTTATGGAAAAACGAACTAAATTAAAAATAAAGTACTTGTGGTTGATGAGTTAAAATGGCATTTTATAATAATAGTTCTATACTAAAAGGCGTCACTAGGTGGCTTCACTTGGTCTAGTAACCAGGGTTTCACGCTACTCCCCCCCCCCACACACACACTAAAGTTTATACATGAGATGTACACTAGGCAATATAGTGTTGTTGTTATAGTTATAAATACCCTTGTTAATTTATAAAAGATGTTTTTCTTGTGAGTACATTTTAATACTCCTCAAGGTCGAGTTGACGGAGTGGTCTAGCAGTAGAGAGCTGGACTGCTAACCCGTAAGTCTCGAGTTCGAATCCGGGTTCAAGTCAGTAGACCGTCCCTGAGTCCACCCACGTTAGGGAAAGTAAAGGCGGCTGGGCATAGTGCTGACCACACTATCTCTTCATATGCCGAGGTCACAGAAATAAGTGAACTCTACTTCACTTGCCCTATAGACCGCCAGGTTTGAAAGGAAAACTTTACAAAGTCAAGTTGGGAGGAGAAAAATATGGTAGGCGTGGTATCTGAGAAAATGGGTGTGTTATGGGGGATGTAGGTCGATTAGAAGCTAAAAGTAATGTAGGCGTGGTCTCTAAGAAAATGGAAGTGTTATGGGGATGTAGGTCTATTAGAAGCTAAAAGTAATGTAGGCGTGATGTCTGAGAAAATTGGTGAGTTATGGGGATGCAGGTCTACTGTGTACTTTTAAATATCAACAGGTCTACATAAAATGCCTAAAAGTTCAACCAGACATTACGAGTACTTTAAAAACTAACTATTTTTCCATGAAGCGTCATGTAGGCCCACTGTCCTTTTTTTCGGACAAAGAAATTCTTGTTAAGTCAAATGTACTGTAAATCTCGCGTCATTAAATATGGCAGGTGTACTTATAATTATTCTAATGCACATGTGTGATTCACAAATGGACACGTTTTTGTTTTGTTTTTTAAATTAATTTTGTTACGTTTTTCAATAGTGAAAAAATAAATTGTTGTAATTTTTTTCTACCAAATTTACATTATTATTTATAATTTTTTTTAATGTCATTACACATAGATTTAGTAAAAGACAGTATTAAACAAAACTTTTTACACAGAGACATTTAGGAATAATAAAGCGGGAGCGAGTTCCACATTAACTTTCTCCTTTATTTGTATCTTACAGTAAGGGTTGGTATGGCACGTCTGAGAAATTGGGCTATAGAAATGAAGAATTGGACAGTGACAAAACCGTTCGTTTTTCGTGAAAAGCACTTAAACTTTGCTAATTTGTGAGAATATGATATACAATTATCAAACTCGAAGGAATATATGAATGTACCTCTTCCATTTACCGAGAATCGCTCAAAATGTTATATATATATATATATATATATATATATATATATATATATATATATATATATATATATATATATATATATAGTGTTGCCAGCAAAAATAAATGTCTTCATAAAAAAACTCATAAATTGTAGGGAATTCGCCATGACGAGAAAACGCAACAATGGCGTAGCTGCATACTAAATATCTTGTGCTCTTATTTTGTGTCCGTTAACAATCCCAAATTTGGATTGGAATCAAGGCTAGAAGGGCTATATAGTCTTCAAACTGAGACCATTAAATAATATTGCAGTTTTACAAATTTACTTTACTTACTGACCTTTCTCAAGCCAAACTCTCACATTTAAAATCCATTCTTAGAAATAGGAATATGGAAGTAAATTTAAGTACATAAACGACAATGATGCATTATGTTTTGAAAATACAATTTATTACCTGTGTTATAAAGAGAAAGCAAATCAATATAAAATAAAACAAAAGTTATGATTGTCATAGAAACATTAGTTGCATGATTTTTCGATGTAATTGACAACAATAAGTGTACCAATCGACAATGTGAAAGTGACTTTAAAGTCGACTATAAAAATTTTGATCAATACATTAATAATACATAAAGTTTATTAGCTAACTTATTTGTTTATGATGAACAGACAAGTATTTGGGAAATAAAACTTCAGAATTGTTTTAATAAAGGTTAACTCTACCAGTTAATAATAATCATTAAAAAGTTTTAAAAAACCCACGTTTTCTGATTGAACTAAAAAGTATAAAATAAATGTTATACATCACAATAATGCAAGCTATCACTCTACTATAAGCGATGAAAAACGTGGGGCGCCGAAGTAAAAGTTATATTACTATTTATTAGATAATACTATTGACTTTTATTAGGGAGCTTGTAGAGAGTCAACAGTATTAGAAACTGTAAGAAAATCACGGCGCCCCACGTTTTTGATCGCTTATAGTAGAGTGATAGCTTGCATTATTGTGATGTATAACATTTATTTTCTACTTTTTAGTTCAATCAGAAAACGTGGGTTTTTTAAAACTTTTTAATGATTATTATTTTCTACTTTTTAGTCTTTGTCTGTTTGTTTGCATTAAAATCTTGCTATCGATTTTATCTTTTCACTTTTTTGTTGGGTAAACGAAGACAACTCGTAAAAAGACAACTCGTAAAAAGACAACTCGTAAAAAACACGTTGTGTGAATACGTTACTGACTAGAACACATAGATTTGAACCCGTGTCGAGTGGGATAGCAATCGTGTGCCCAACCACTCGACCATATCGTCTCCCCCAAACTGGCCTACCTTCTGTAAGTTTATAGTCGGTTAAAACGAAATTATCTGCCCCTAAGCAGACGTGGGATCGTTCGCTTCACTGCGCGCGGCAAGAGAGAGGCTAGCTGCGCGTCGCTGGTTTTTTTTCTAATGGCTCGCAGAGGAGAATATATATAGATTATATAGCGGTCTAAAATGCTCAATAAAATATTTCCATTGATCAATTTAGTAATAATAACAAGTGATTATTCTATGGTCATCCAAAAGAAAGCTTCCCTGAAAATTTCAGCGCGCTAGCTAACTGGGAAGTGCCAGAAATTTCGATCGCAAGATTTGATTGGAAAGACAAACACAGAAACACACAGAGAAAGCAAGTTAAAGAAAACGTGGGAACATTAAGAACAATATTGTATGGCAAATGTCAATAAAACAAATGTCATTCTTTCTTCTTTTTAACTGTCCGCTTTGTGAAAAAACGTCTGTAGCAAAACCTGACAATGAGGATAAAAATAACGACAACTCCAGACAGAACAGCTGCTATAAAAGCGATGACGTCAAGAAGAAGAAATTGATACAACGGCATTTCCTGTCCTGATGACCTCATATAGTCTCCGCCATACTTCATCACGTGATCTATCCAGTAAGCGGCTTCTTTGGATGGAACTTTGTAAAGCTCTTTGAATAGCTTGGATGCTTTCTCGATATGTCTCTTGTATTTGTTATTGGAGGCGAGTTCTTTTATCGTGGTGATCAGTTCCTCTGGAGTAATTTTCCTTATATCTTCACCAAGTCCAAAACCTTTAAAACGAATTCTTTCCGAGTTGTAGAACTGGTCGCCATAGATAGGCAGGCAGAGGATAGGCACAGCATGATACAAAGCCTCGTATTGGCCATTTTTACCACAATGGGAAACAAAGACTTTGGTCTTTGGATGACCAAGTAGGTCATTCTGTGGTATCCATTGTGACGTCTTTACCTTTCCTGGGACAGGAGAGGTCACGTTGACTCGCCAGACAACGTCAAGGTCCAGTTGTTTGAAGGCAGACATTAGTTTGCTAATAATATGAGAAGGGAAAGGAATGTCGTTTCCTCCAAAAGACACAACGACAATCCCATTGGTTGATTTTTCAACAAACTGTTTGAACTCACCAATCAAAGGCTTCGGCTCACTGACAGAAGATCCACCAATCAGCTTTGTGTTGGGTAACATTGGTCTGGGATAATCTAGGATGTGATCAACTTCAGCAATAAAAATTTCAGCTTTTAATATAATATCACTAATTGTCGTGTAAGGTTTTTCTGGTGCTATTCTAGTCACAATGTCACTATCAGTGAAGGGGTCATAGCTGAGCTCAAAGACTGTTTTTATCGTTAGAGACAAGCGCTGCATGAAGCTCATTCTGTTGTTTACTTTCTCTGGAACTTGGGGCTCTACAGCAGGGCTGAATGGAACCCGATGCAGGACTAAATCTTGAGAGTATCCAACAGCCGCAAAAGGAATGCCCAGCTTATACGGCAGGACAAAAATATTTCTGATAAACATGAACTCATCGATCACGAGTAAATCTGGTTTGATGTTTTTAACATTGTCGAAAAATGATTGGTCGTCTAAAACTATATTGATGAATTTCCTAAATTCTTTTGCTGTCATTAAGAGCTCGCTTAAGCCAACATCCTTCCCATCCCAGAAGTTGTCGAGCATTTTTGAATTTTTAAGAACGTGGGATTCCACGTCACCTATGGTCTCACCGAACTTTAAGATCTTGATGTCTTTGTACTTGATCAAGTTCTTGTCGCTCAAATACTCTGGCACACAAATCCACACCTCGTGACCCAGGTCGATTAACGCCTGGCCTATGTTGGCGTGGTAGATGAAATAGCTTTTGCCAAACCCAGGAAACATGACGATCTTTTTGCCATCTGAGTGAGTGAGTGTTAGAAGGTACAGGCCCAGAGATATTAGCTTGAGACCGTACATTTTGCCTCATATATTTTTAACCTTTTCTGGAACAAAGTTCAAATTCCAGTGAGTGTTTTCAAAAATATAAATACATGAGTGGAGAGGTGAATCAGATGTGTGATATTCTGACAAGGTGATAACGTATTGATGCAGATGATAAAATAGACAAGACTTATGTTTAAATAACCTGATAATTGATTTTCAACACTGACGTATATAAATATTGAAAGAAATGTAAGTGTTCGAAACTATTTACTTACAATTGAAATCGCATGTAATTTAGAATCACCAAATAATCACAACTTCTTTACTCACGAGATCCGTCGTTACCGAAATCCGGATAACGGAATTATTTTACAGCGTTACTATTTCACGTTGCATTCATGAAATGAATTCTAGTCCACCTCGCTGGCAAACTGTAGAGCTGGCTAGACCCTTCGTGTACATTAGCCCACATCAGTATCTCGGCCCTACTCGGACAGGTTCAGGTCGGGTCTCTTTATACACGATATCTACATGCAGTAGGGCGGGCGAGATTTCTATTGACTGAATGCAAGATTCAGGCCAAGAACTGTAACAATTCTAAATACAACATGACTTGCAGAATATGACGGGGCTATGTCTTTTAAAATAGACACGTTTTTTAAAAGTTGAACTGTGCTAGATTGGACATGTTGTAATGTGTTAGCTTCAACATACTCGGTGAAAGTAATAGATCGACTACATTCGTAGATAGAGCAGTGTGGTCGAGTAGCAGGATACACGAGTAGACCTACTAACCGTAACGTCCGTAGTTAGGTTTCCGAGCTCCAGTTCACTGAGGTGAAAGATCTGTTGTTCAGACTATCAAGCCTGTAAAGGTCATTGTGAGCTTTGTTGTACTACTGTGTGTTGTACTGCTGACGTCGCTAATATATTTCATCTGTGCATCTCCCGTCAGGTGCAACTATTAATAGAACACGGAGAATGGTTGACCTCTTGTGTTTATTTAGCCTACATAATACGGAGGGGTTGGAAATTGGTTGTTTTAACAATATAATTTGGTGAGAATTAACGATTTTGTGAACACATTAAATTGTAACCTATAATGATGTTTATTACTGAACATAACGGCACATTTTTTGAGCCGGTTCCTCTTTACATTTTGCCAGTCATGCTGTCAGTTGATTGTTATAGTTTATGACACGAGATATATCGTTAGCAGGTAGACGTGCTGTCTTTAACTCTAGCGCTTAGATAAGATATCAATTTGCATAATATTGATTTTTTTTGTGTAGTACGACAGAACCCTTATACCACATAGATCTACCGTTCCTAGTTCGGTTTTAAATTAGAATGTTATTTTTAAAAAATAAAATCTCCAATAAAAACTCCAAATAATAATTATCAAATGCACAGTTATTAAATTTGTAGAGAAATTACATTTTCAAAGATTCAAATACGATTAGACTGCTTGTTTGTATATCGTTTAAGAAGTTTCCCATACACTTTTTAAATCAGTGTTTCTTCCAGCCTTTTTTTTCTTCTCCGGGGAGGGAGGGGGGGCAGACACTGTTAAAAGTATATTTTTTCTATATTAATTCCATTTCGTTAGAGGGCAGGGGGGAAGGCGCAGTAGCGTAGCGAGGGGGGGGGGGGGGCGGGGGGACATATGTCCCCGGGCGCCGACCTTAGGGGGCGCCAAAATGGGATGGAAAAATAAATTGAAAGGTTGAGGGGGGTGCAAATCGAAAGTTTGAGGGGGGGGGGGTGCAAATCGAAATCTCGAGGGGGGGTGCAAATCGAAAGTTTGGTTTGAGAAGAGGTGCAAATCGAAATCTCGAGGGGGGGGTGCAAATCGAAAAGTTTGTCCCCGGGCGCCGGGAAGGGTCGCTACGCCTCTGGGAAGGCGGTAGACTCCCCCCCCCCTTCCGAAGAGATGCCTGGAAGAGACACTGTTTTTATTGTTTTTACTTAAACTAGTTAAAATTTGTTAAATCTACCTTCTTATATTACAATATGTATAAGTAACTGCAGTTCGGTCTATAATTTGTATCCATAACGAACATCTCATGAAGATGTCCACTGATTATTAAATACTAGTCAATTCATAATGTAGGTTTTTAATTCAGCGTGTCGCCTAATTTAATGACAACTATTTCTCTCATATATCACCATTAGCTGACATAATTATAAACGTCAATTACTGCTATAATTAACTGGATAAATGCAGCCTTGATTTGATGGACATTATTCTGTACGTCGACACATTTTTTCGACATCCAGGCATATTTTATGTCTGATTATCCCCTAGAAATTTCCGCTTTGTATAGATTCAAACTTTATATATGTCATTATTGGTAAAATATACAAAGGAGGAGAGTTTTTCTCTCTGTCTATATAAGGTGTCATTACTAGACACCCCAACAAATATACGACTCATATTATATGAATGTTAATTTTTTTAACACTCTGTCACTCTACTGCAGGACTAAGCGGAACCCTATGCATAACTATTTTAAAAAGTATGCCAATAATATCAAAAGGAAATTATGTTTGTACGAAAAAAAACAATTCCACTGAACACGTGACCATTAATACCTAGACAAACTGACTTGGTGTCTGTGATTGTCACTATTTTAAAAATGTATCAGCTCTAATTATGTTAATGACACATCAACATGACCGTGGTGCTGGACATTCTTGGCTTAATGACGATTTTTTTTCTTTCCATAATCCACTAATTAGGTTGTTAATTAGCTTGGCATTTTTCTTACAGTGTTTCCACGAGCCAAACTTAATTTTTTATCAAGCTTGAGCTGCCCATGAGCTGTGGCATACAAATCATGCAAGCTTTGTGTTCTCTATAAGACATTGTAGTAAACATTCCTATTTTGGTGTCACCCTCTTCCACCCCACACAAGCAGATTGCTTTATGGTCTTATTATCACTGACCAGTCCATTATTTATTTGGTGTCATCCCAAACCACGTCTTTTTTTGTCACCCTAATCCATGACCTATGGTGTCACACTAAACCATGAATTATAGTTTTACCCCAAACCATGACCAATGGTGTCACCACAAATAAAGTCATATGGTGCCACCACACGCCAAGTCGTATGGTATAGCCATTAGTCAAGTGATAAAGTATCACCACAAGCCACGTCATTTAATGTCATCGCAAGCTCGTCATATGGGGTCACCACACGTCAACTCATATGGGGTCACCACACGTCAACTCATATGGGGTCACCGCACGTCAACTCATATGGGGTCACCAGACGTCAACTCATATGGGGTCACCACACGTCAACTCATATGGGGTCACCACACGTCAACTCATATGGGGTCACCACACGTCAACTCATATGGGGTCACCACACGTCAACTCATATGGGGTCACCACACGTCAACTCATATGGGGTCACCACACGTCTACTCAAATGGGGTCAACTCACGTCTACTCATATGGGGTCACCTCACGTCAACTCATATGGGGTCACCACACGTCTACTCATATGGGGTCACCACACGTCAAGTCATATGGGATCACCAGATCATCACCACAAGCCAAGTTCTATGGTGTCACCACAAACGAAATCATATGGGCTCATCCTTGTTAATGTATTATTTTAGTAAGCTATAATCAGTTTAAAAATACAACAATAAAACTCTTTCTTGAGCAAATTAAACATAAATTGGCTGGTTTTCACCAAGTCTACGTAACCCTTCAGCACCATATATTTGGTAATAGGCATCCCCCCCCCACTACTGGCTGCGTTACAGCGGTGTAATGGTATATCCCACACTTTTTTTCTCTCACTCTCTCTCATTCTCTTTCTCTGTGTGTGTGGGGGGGGGGGGTATGTGTGTGTGCTAGTGAGGGATAAAAAAAACTCTATTAAAGCATCAAATTAGATAGTTCTTATCTGAAGTACTATTTTGATTAGTGTAAACAAAATTAAACAGTTTACAGAACAGACCAGAGATTTTATTATTTATATACAAATCAATATGACTTTTTTTTTTAATTATTGACCTTTAGCTTTAGATTTTATGTACTGTGGCAGTCACTTGTACAAAACACATCAATAAAATAAATGTCATTCTTTCTTAATTTTAACTGTCAGCTGTTTGAAAAACCGTCTGTAACAAAACCTGACAATGAGGATAAAAATAACGACAACTCCAGACAGAACAGCTGCTATAAAAGCGATGACGTCAAGAAGAAGAAATTGATACAACGGCATTTCCTGTCCTGATGACCTCATATAGTCTCCGCCATACTTCATCACGTGATCTATCCAGTAAGCGGCTTCTTTGGATGGAACTTTGTAAAGTTCTTTGAATAGCTTGGAAGCTTTCTCGATATTTGTTTTGAAACTTGTGTCATAGACTAGTTCTTGTATTGTGTCTGTCAGTTCTCCTGCGGAAATTTCTCTGACATCCCCCCTCAGGCCGTATCCTTTGACACGTACTCGCTCAGAGTTGTAGAACTGGTCAGCATAGATAGGCAGGCAGAGGATAGGCACAGCATGGTACAAGGCCTCGTATTGGCTATTTTTTCCGCAATGGGAAACAAAGACTTTGGTCTTTGCGTGACCAAGTAGGTCATTCTGGGGGATCCAGTGTGACGTCATAATTTTGGTTGGAACAGGAGACGTCATGTTCACTTTCCAAATGACGTCAAAGCTCAGTTGTTCAAAAGCAGAAGTCATTTTGGCTACAATATCTTTAGGTATTGGAAAGTCGTTACTTCCAAAAGACACAACGACAATCCCATTGGTTGATTTTTCAACAAACTGTTTAAACTCACCAATCAAAGGCTTTGACTCACTGACAGAAGATCCACCAATCAGCTTTGTGTTAGGTAACATTGGTCTGGGATAATCTAGGATGTGATCAAGTTCGGTAATAAAAATTTCAGCTTTTAATATAATATCACCGATTGTCGTGTATATAATATAAGCAACTTTCCAGAGCACTTCAATGTATGGCAATTTTTATAAATCTTCCAACAGTTATTTCAATTACAAAATGTTTATTTGAACTAAATATTACGTTAAGCATAGGCCTACAGAATCTAATCCTAATATATAAAAGCCCATGTGCGCACTTCTCTCTCTCTCTCTCTCTCTCTCTCTCTCTCTCTCTCTCTGATTAATTAGTGGTTAAACATCTTTAGGCATCTGAAAACGTTAGTTTTTAATCTAGTGTACTCAAAAAGGAAGAACATAAAGCTTTATGCCGCCTTAAAAACCCAATCCCATGTTACGCAAGGCGTCGATAGAGAAAGAATAAGGCTTTCAGTCAGAACAGGCAAAGGCTTAGATAACTGCCAAATACCTAATCTGTAGACCTCACAAGTCTAGACGATATATTTGTGCCTCTGTTTTTAGACTTTCAGAACAAATGCATGACTGTGATGTGGTCAGTAGGCACATAAAAGAGAAAAGTAGTTTTAATCTAGAGACTTCAAACATTTCTGAAGGACCGAATTTGAACTTGTAAGCGGTGGTGTCGATGCCAAAGTTTAGCGTCGTCCGCAAAGATAAGCTATCGTTATATCATCTCTATGCCCATATTGTGACAGATATTTACAAATGTGTCTAATATAGGACAGAATACATAGCTACTCAATAGAGATAAGCGCAATCATTTGTCCACGACTTAAGAAACCACTGTACTGCAAAACCCACCTAAATGGAAAATGTCTTAGACAGAGTTTCTTCCAGGCATCTCTTCGGGGGGGGGGGGGGGCCTTCGCTCCCCCGAAATTTTTTTTACCGCCCCCCCCCCCGAACGAAATGAAATTTATATAATTTATATAGAAAATATATACTTTTAACAGTGTCCGCCCCCCCCCCCCCGAAGAAAGTCTACCGCCCCCCGGAGAAAAAAGTCTGGAAGAAACACTGAGTCTTAGATGTGTGTTTTAATACAAATGTGTACCTCGTCGCGAGTTGGTACCTGTAGGTAGTCCATGTAGATCCCCCCCACCCCCCGAAGAAAGTCTATTGACCCCCCCCCCCCCGAACGAAACGGAATTTATATAGAAAAAAAATATACTTTTAACAGTGTCCGCACGCCCACCCCGCCGGAAAGATTTCGCCAGGGCGGCGCCCTAGCAGGAAGCAGAGGTGTAGCAACCTATTCTGGCGCCCTGGGCGAACTATCACTGTTGTGCCAACCCTATTCAAACGCTGGCAAAAAGGCGCCCATCCCTACATACACTCCCCTATATAAAATAATTGAGGATATCAGTCATGGATAAATCTGTTTTCTTAAATTTTACTGAAGAATGAGGATTTAAAAAAAAAATGTCTACCCCTTTTGGCGCCCCATTCGATCTGGGGTCTCTGACAGGAAGCAATGCAATTTTTCTCCATAAAAATAAAAGCCAGATGCAATTTGACACTGTTCGTACGAGAGTCATAAAATTTTGGGGAGTTGGTGAAAAGGGTTTCGAGAAAGAAAAAAATTCTTAAGTGTGGCACCCTGGGAGGATTCGATTTTTCTCATTATACGATTATGAGCTCAGAATCCAGAGAGGAATCCAGAGGGGCTATCTCATCAATTGCGGTCATAGGTAATACTAGATTCAGCAGAGGCGTAGCGAGGGGGGCGGGGGGTACATATGTCCCCGGGCGCCAACCCTAGGGGCGCCAAAATGGGTGGGAAAAATTTAAAAGCTCATTTTAGCTACAGTTTTGCATTATAAATATTTAAAAAATACGGGGGGGGGGGGGGGGGGGGACGCCAAATTGAAAGTTTGTCTCCGGCGGGAGGGGGGGGGGGGAGGGCGCCAAATTGAAAATTTGTCCCCAGGCGCCAGGAATGGTGCTCCGCCTCTGAGATTCAGTGATAAAACTACACCAGGTTCATCCGCCAGCTCCCTGGCGGTTGAGTGGCCCAGAGCGGCCAAGATCCACCTCCGGCGACACTACGGTTTAGATGGGCTACTATAAATGTTCACTAAGTAGAATAATGAGCGCCCGCCGGCGCCCTGGCAGTTGGCGACAGCAAGCGCCCCGGGCTCTACAGAGAGTGCCTCTTTAAAGAGCACCCTACAATAGGGACACGGTGGCACACGACATTTTATAATTAAACAGAATTAGGGGCGCCCCTGCGGGAGTATAACCAGTGGCTACCTGGAGCGCCAAGGGACGCGTCTCTAACACATGGGCGGTCGCAATGTGTGTTCTACCTCACTATTACAGAGGTTGATTAACGTACACTCAAGGCTTTCATACAATGAGCCTTGGTGCGTCTAGGCGGCAGTGTGGACAAACCCGCGCCCCAAAAACGAATATGTGGGTTTGTTTGTATAAGCATTACCAAAGATTTCATTCGTTTGTCTTTCAAATCTGAGAAGTTAATGCTAATACCCCTGTGGTGGTTTCTGCGAAAAAAAAATCGATTTGGTGGCGCCCTGGCAGGGTTCCATTTAGCTCCCCGTGTTTTCCCGTGAGTACTATGGTACCTTTGTTCGTTTTAATAATTGCGAAACGCTATGAATATGATGGGCTACTATAATCGCTCACTATACCGAGTGAGGCGCCTTCCTACCTAGGCCCACCTACCTACATACCTAACTCCCTGCCTATGTACCTACCTATCTACTAACCTGCCTGCGCTGCTGCCTGCCTACCTACTTTCCTACCTACCGTTATTCCTGCCAAACTGCTTTCCTTCCACCCCGCCTGTCTACCCACCACACATCCTACTTACACACACCCATATCTTCGTATATATATATATATATATGTGTATGTGTTAGTGTGCTCTAGGACTATGTATTTTTACATTTTTGTTGTTACGTAGAACTATTCAGTATAAAGCAGTTTCCTTTTTTTTTGACGTTGTAACTGCCGCTAAAATATTCTTTTTTGTATGTGTGCATAAAATAGTGTAGGTTTAATAACAAAAGTAAATTTTAGTATGTATTTAAGTGTATATAATCATTTTCGTCAAGCCAATGTGTTCATAATCTTAAATTTAAAAACCCATGAAACTCGATAGCCAAAGATTTAGAATGAGAATAATTGCTATTTAACCAGAAACACCCATTCTAATTATTGTAATAATATTTTTTAAAATAAATATACACAGAGATAGATTGCTTTCTTATATAATTAATTTAAAAAGTCAACTGTATTTCATAACGAAAATTAACACAAAATACATTCGAATAGAAACTGTCAAGGGAGACTACTCTAATATTTGTAGGAATAATAGTTTTTATTTAGAGTTTTTTATTATTATTAGAAGAAAAGTTAATCATGTAGGTTCTATAAAAGATTACCTTGCATTTAAAAAAAAAGATATTCGATAGGTTTAGAATGAGAAATAGTCAAAATTATTTATTATATTCATTAGTTGTTTTTTTTAATAATATAGTACAAAGACCTGTTTTAATTATTTTTTAAAAATCTTATTTTTATTAATAAATTATAAATGAAGATCGAGGATCTATATTTTTAAAAAATAGTTTAACTGTCCCTAAACAATTGTATCAATCGCTGAGAAATTAAGAATTAATAATTACGTTTAACGCTTTATTAATTAAACGAGTTGAATTATTTCCGTTTTGATAAACTCTCTCTCTCTTTATAACTACTAACGCTTTATCATTGAGTTTCTCGAGAGAAAAATACAGGAGAGCGGTAGTTATCATTGACTCTGTCATTGATAATTTCATTGAGTCTTTCATAGAAAATAGTGTTTGATCGGCTGCTCTCTCTCTCTCTCTCTCTCTCTCTCTCTGTCCGCAAAATATTTTCGCAGGATATCACATCAGAATCTTCAGCGATATATGGAGAACTTGATACGGACTTTTGTTGAAAATAATATGGTAGATGTTTTAAATGTATAAACACAATTTTATTTAAAGAAAAAAAAATTAAAAAATAAAGGCGTATACAAATGTAGAAAAACAATTTTAATTATGCAACCGGAAAAAGGTTTATAGTTGGGACAAGAGCGCATTTAACAATGACGTCACTTAATGTTTAGACTAAAAAAGCACGAAACTAATGACGTCATCTTCCGAGTTTAGAATAAAATAAAGAAATGAAGTATTTCATTCAAATATGATTTAGAGCTACGTACGCTATGAAATGTATACAATACGATTTTTTCGGCCTAAACTTTTATAAGTTTTTACTTTAAACGTGTCGGATTTTTAGTTATTTCTTTGCTTTGTCACTAATATAGTTCAGCGTGTAGTAATGCACATTGCGTTTTGACCAATAACTATTTTTTATAAATTATTTTTCTCAAACAAGTTGAACATTTTAAAATATATAGGCCTATAATTCACGTGAAACGGGTACCGATGGCTAGTTGATTTAAAATTGATCATGACAAGAGGAATAACTCTTAGTTTTCACTTTTCTCACTCGGCAAAAAAAAAAAAGGGGGGGGGGGCTATTCTCAATACGTTCTCTTGATAAAGTGTCGGTAAGAGGACAAAAAACGTGCCCCCCCCCCCCCAAAAAAAAAATCTACGATGACCTTGATTTTTCCTAACAACTATCATTATTCTGTATGACAACAGATGTGTCTAGTCAAGTGACACATGCGTGCACCACTTACCCTGTAACCATTAGCGACCGAAGTACAAACTACGTGATGTTTCTAGTTAATTTAGAATGCTTCTTTTTTTTAACCATACGCTTTTAGCCTGCCAAGCCCTTATGCCCGCCACCATGTGGTCTAACGCCCTCCTTTTAGCCCACCACCCTGTTGTCTAACGTCCTTTTAGCCCACCCCCTGTTGTCTAACGCCCTCCTTTTAGCCCACCACCCTGTCTAAAGCCCTCCTTTTAGCCCACCCCCTGTTGTCTAAAACCCTCCTTTTAGCCCACCATTCTGTTGTCTAAAACCCTCCTTTTAGTCCACTATTGTTGTCTAAAACCCTCCTTTTAGCCCACCACCCTGTTGTCTAAAACCCTCCTTTTAGTCCACTATTGTTGTCTAAAGCCCTCCTTTTAGCCCACCACCCTGTCTAAAGCCCTCCTTTTAGCCCACCCCCTGTTGTCTAAAACCCTCCTTTTAGCCCACCACCCTGTTGTCTAAAACCCTCCTTTTAGTCCACTATTGTTGTCTAAAACCCTCCTTTTAGCCCACCACCCTGTTGTCTAAAACCCTCCTTTTAGTCCACTATTGTTGTCTAACGCCCTCATTTTAGCCCACCACCCTGTCTAAAGCCCTCCTTTTAGCCCACCCCCTGTTGTCTAAAACCCTCCTTTTAGCCCACCCCCTGTTGTCTAAAACCCTCCTTTTAGCCCACCACCCTGTTGTCTAAAACCCTCCTTTTAGTCCACTATTGTTGTCTAACGCCCTCATTTTAGCCCACCAACACTTTTAGCATTACAATCCTGTAGAGCTGCTCCAGTAATAAGACTTAAAAAAAACCATCAATTAAACCCTTATAAGGACCATACCATTTGGGCAAAATGTCAAATGTAGTTTAGTAAAACACCTGCAGTTCTACTTTTTAATCTGACAGTTATATAAATGATCTAGGCTTACTAAAACAAATAAATGCCAGTTATTAACTGTCAAATTTAATACGTTCGACCATGGCAAGTGATAGACGCCATGCGTCACCGGACCTAATCTAGCATGTCTATAGTCCCTTTATATACATTATTATACATGTAACAATCAACCAACACTGAATGGATAAATCAACATATTTATTTCATTTTAAAATGTATCTACACGATGGACTAAAAAAATACCTACTAAATTTTACCCTCACAAGAAAATTTTACTGCAGTTGTCTGCCTTGTCAAGTTTCTATTCAATAAAAAACTTCAGTCGTGTCAGGAACAGAACAAAACATTTTTTTAAATGGACAATTTTGTAAATTATTTTATAAATGTGTGTACCGCTAAAAGGGAACTGACTATATGCAACTAATGCACCAACCACATAGTGCAATGATGACATGCTTTTATTCAGGACATTACAAATTAATAAAATAAATTAAATTGGAAATTTGCCATTTATACAAATTTAAAGCAACCAGATTATACATAGAGCTTTAAAAAAATCAGAATATCCCTATTTAACGTGACATGCAAACACAATAAATACATACATACTTAGTATGGGTAGAACACATACACGACACAAAGAAATGAGTATTCTGAAATTATTAACTAGAACACAAGGGAGAATGTTGTTCAACAAAATTCAGCTCACACATTAGTGCTGCTGGCCTATCAAAACTTTTAAAAAATATATCAACATTTAATTTAATCCAGTCCACCTATACAATAGTATTGTACCATTACTATTTAGAATTAAACAGTTTTAAAAAATGTTATAAATCAGATATTTAAACTCTGAAGATCTCCCATCATTACAAAGGTCATGACCTTCACAGAAGATAAACAAACCTATGTAACCATGGCAAATGTGTACACCATCATATACACGGTCTAGATAAATGCTGGTAATCAAAAGGGGGATGTTATGGGAAAGGGGGGGGGGGCTTTCATACAAAGCATTTGTTCAGAAAATATTTGCAGACACTTCAGTCTGGTATGAGATTCAATCTTAAAGCCCGGCAGGTCAGGACCTCTAGCCCAGCAGGTTAGGACCCCTAGCCCAGCAGGTCAGGACCCCTGGCCCAGCAGGTCAGGGCCCCTGGCCCAGCAGGTCAGGAACCCTAGCCCAACAGGTTGGGACCCCTAGCCCAGCAGGTCACCCCAGGTCAGGACCCCTAGCCCAGCAGGTTGGGACCCCTAGCCCAGCAGGTGAGGACCCCTAGGCCCAGCAGGTTAGGACCCCTAGCCCAACAGGTCAGGAACCCTAGCCCAGCAGGTTAGGACCCTAGGCCCAGCAGGTCAGGACCCCTAGCCCAAGACCACTAGACCCAGTGCTAAGTATAAAGATGAACTTTATTAGAAGAAAAAATATTAGAAAATATCCTACTAGAAGGCAGTGGGCAAAATTTAACTGAGAAAATGGATGAACAGATGTCTTTATCTTAGAAAAAAAATACTTCAAATTAAAGAGATTCACTCATTACATTAATAACCCTATGATAACATAGTTACTAACAATCTCCAAAAGTTATATTACATAAATTACCTACCCTGTTTCAAGATTCATTTAAACAGAATAAGCAATAAATTGAGCGTAAAATTCTTCACTAAGTTTGTCTATAAAATTTGAATAAAACCGTTACTAGAGATACAAAAAGATGTTTCTTAGCATTATTTTATAAACATAGCACTCAACAATGGTTTTTTTTTTTTACACAACCATTTAGTTTGGACCATTTAGTTTATACAAGGTGAGCATGCATCTGCACCATTTAGTTAGCATTGAAAGACCAGTTATACTCCTGTATACTTTTTTTTGGCAAGATAAATGCATGTTTAACTTTGTGCGATAATACACAGCTTAAATGGCATTTAATATAGAAAGAAAAATATCTTTAACATATCTATTAAGTCTGTTCAGAAGATCAAAGCAGAAACTAAAATGTGAATGAAGAAAACAAATTTGCGCAAGTTGAATGAATAAAACATTGAAGTCAGTAGGTAAGTTTTAAATGTCTAGCACATTGAGAAATATTCTTATATTTTAAAAATATTAAAACATCTGAAACAGGGGAAACAAATTTTTGTTGGCGTAAAATAACAACTCTGATCATCAGTTCTTGATTGCTGTACACCGTAAAATGGTCTACCATTCACTCACACAACATATTCATCATATACAATGGTCTTTCAATCATACAGTAATTTAAACAGAAACTCTGCATCACCATTTAATCATACAGCATTTTTAACACATCTTATAACAAGTCAGCCATTCAATCGTACAATGTTTTAAACACATCATCTTAACTCTTGTTGGGGTAGTCAATCACATTTTTTAAAAATACAATATTTTCTTGACGACATTTCTAAAAGAATGTGTGTAAAATAGAATAAAGTACATTGCATGAAAGACAAAAACAAAACTTATTCTTTGCTCATCCAAACTTAGTGTCAACATAATCTATTTCACAGGGCAGCGTTAGTCTCTGTTCTTTTTCCCCACATTTTTACTATGCTCTGACACAACCAAGATGTAAGACCCAGCTAAATCATCTATTATGCATCCATCATAATTACCTCCATACCTAGTCTCAGATTCGAAACTTGTCATCTCTAGCTTTCTTGTTAGCTTCAGCCATTTCTTTCTCCAGCCATTTCTTAAACTTACAGTCAAAAGATTCAAGTTCTGTTCTTAATACTTAAACCATGAAGATGGTGACACTGTGACATCAACCATCACATTGATGGTGACAACATAATGGTGACATCACAATAAATCATTCATCATGGTGATCCTGCGTTAGATTCAGAGACTGCCAGATCACAAACGAGACTTCTCACACCATCCTATTTCCTCAGTAGAGGTGTTTCAGCTGTTCGTAGGTCATGAAGAACTAAAGCATGTAGTAAGGAAAATGTAAATACAACACTTGTAACAATGTTATATGTAACACAACAACTAACCATCATGTTGATGTAGTGAGGGCTGGATGGAATATTTTTAAGATGCACTTGCATTTAATTCATTTTTTAAATGTCCCTATTAGCAGTAGAAAAGATTTACAACCATGAAATTTTATTTTCTATGCTAATAGAATAATTTCAAAGTTTTATTAAGAATTAATGGTTTGGGGTTAAATCGTTAAAAAATTAAATGGAAATTGTCAACACTAGTCAAATATTAAGAAATAAATATTTAATAAATATCAAACAGAAATTACTGGACTAGCAATGTAAATAAGAACATCATAAGAAAATAAAATTGAACAAAGGATACTATAATGTTCCAAGGTCCTAATCTCAGCCAGTTTGGAATGAAACCTTTATACAGTGCTGTAATCCCCTCAGTTTTGACAGTCTGAAATCATTAAAGTGGGTTTTAAATCAGCAGGTAAAAAGATATGAGTGGCTTAGCAGCAGAGTACTGAAAAAAATTGAGTGAAAAACAAAATAATTCCAGTAAAACGTGAAAATAATTACGGGCTTAAAGAGTTAAAAATTTCATGAGGTGTCTAGGGGCTCCTAGAATTTTAGGAGGGCACATGACTCATACTAAAACAATTAGTAGGCCATGCAGCATGTCATTAGAATAATTGTTGTTTTGTACTTCCTACTTATTCTAATAAAAGATATGACTATCACTTATTTTTATCCTATTTAGCAGAACAAACTTACACATGAGACAATTCTTTTTGGTACTTTTGCTGAACATTTTTCACCCAAAGGCTTATGAGTGGTATGTCTGCAAATGTCAATGCTGTATGTAATCTTATATATGTGCTTGAAATTGGACATACCCGAACAAGACAGTCCATAGTTGAGGTGTAAATAGCTGGAGGAAGTGATGTGGAGACAGCCCCAGCTGGTGCTGTGGTCACTATGTTCACTTTTTGGTTCATCATGCGAGTCTGGGAATAAAGACAACATTTTTAGTCAGTATAATGGAGGGAGGTTTAAACACATATGGTATTTAACACATACTGTATTAAACACACAATATTGAAAACATAGTGCATTAAGCTTAAGCACATAATGTATTTATAACAGTATTAAAAATAAAAATCTGTCAACTTACCAATTTACACAAATGGTATAGATTTTTAAAATATTGCCACAACTCAAGGGAGATAATATTTCATTGAAAAAATATTTTAAAATATAATATAATTGAGTTACGTTTTCCTACCTTGCATACATCAATAGGGTTTGAAGCTAAAGCTCCAGCAAAACCAGCAGAAAAGCTTGCACTGACAAAATAAAATTGTGTTGTTTTACAAAGAGTCACTAACAAACTTCGGGGGGAAAAAGGAAAACCTAGATTTAAGAAATAATGTTTCCTTTGATTCACCATGGTGTCTACAGTTTGAAGACTTACATGAAATGTGTCTCCTTTGTGTCACCAAAGTACCCAGAGAGAATGATGTGCTTCTTGACCACATCGTAAACGGGCAGCTCAACCCCAGCAACAATGGCAGCTCTCTGTGCTGTTGGACCAACACCCTGATGGGACATGTAGAATTGTTTGTTCATTTGGTGCTGGGTTTATAGCATAACATATGTACAGATGGGGGATGAAAACTGGTAAAATGTCAAACTGTTATGATCATGGCTGAATATTTTGTGATAAAAAGAACACAATATAAAAGTGAATTTTAAAATTTACCCGCCATAATCCTGCTAAGCCTTCTTGTTTGTATATATTAATAAATGAACACACAATGTTATCATAACCAGTTGAATTAGATCCCTTAGCTTGCATTCGAACCTAGAAAAACAAAAATCACATCTATTATGAAACAATTTAGTTGGCAAAAGTAGTCACTCATATCAGATAAACAATTCTAAAATGTGTTTCTGTTTATGAAACACACATAGCCTTGCAGTCAACAACTTATTCACAGTAATAATAAAAATTACAATTAAAAATGTAAGATTGCCTACCTTCAATACATCTGTAGGGTTTGCTATAGAACTTGAGACACTGCCAGCTATAACACCACACAAAACATTCACAGCCAGTGTTTCATCTAGGAAAAATAAGTCATTAATTATTAGGTTACGGTAAATATTGACAAGTCTATTTTAATAAGACAGGAGGTCAAGGACACATGAAGTGATAAGAAAATGCTAACAAAAAGTAGCTTAAAAATATTTTTGAAAGTAACTAAATAGTACACAACTAAACTATCTGTAATCCTATCAAGGAAATGGTAACGTTTTGGTGTAAAAGGCACTACAAAATATTTCATGAGCAGCATACACAACAAGATGTTCCATCCATAGCATACATTACAAGATGATCAATGGGTAGCATATACTGCAAGATGTTCCAAGCAAAGCATACACTAAAAGATTACCTATGTATAGCATATACTTCTTATGTTCCATTTGCAGCAAACACTACTTTATGTTCCATTTGTAGCATACACTACTTCATGTTCCACTTGTAGCACATGCTACTTCATGCTTCATTAGTCGTATACGCTACTTCGTGTTCCATATGTAGCATACACTACTTCATGTTCCATTTTCAGTATACGCTACTTCATGTTCTGTGTGTAGCATATGCTACCTTACGTTCCATTTTTAGAATATGCTACTTCATGTTCCATTTATAGCATACACTATTTCATGCTCTATATGTAGCATACGCTACTCCATGTTCCATGTGTAACATCCACCATTGTTTCCCTGGCTCACAAATTTGACATACATACCAGCAGGATCAGTCACAATCATTTTCTTCAGTGAATGATAAACTCCAATCTTTATGGTGCCGTATGTTGCTTGTCTCAACAAGGCAGGTGCCAGCCTTTAAAAAATTGAATTATGTAAAGTTTAATAACATGTTGAAAAATTTAACAATTTTATTCTAATATTGAGTGTTTAGAGATTATCAATAAAAATACAAGTATTGAAAAAACCCAGATAATAGTAGATGAGAATAGTGTTGGATTTTGTACACAGATATAGAGATGAAAGTATATTCAATAACAAGTGTTTAAATGTAATGCTCAGTTATTCTATTTGTTAATAAACTTACCCAGAGTATAAAGCATGTATTCCTTCCTCTTTGAAAATGCGAGCAAAAGCATGGAACATGCCACGATATTTAATGTCACGAAGTGATGCATCCAAGACTTGACCTTGTACTTGTAGACGTGTTTTTGTTGTGTCTATGGGGAAAGTTCCTGAATAATAAAGTAAAACCGCATGTTAAATAACAATCTTTTTTTATGAGCTAAATACACACATTTTTTTCGTTTAGTTGAACAATAACATTTATCAAAATAAAACTGCAACAATTAAATAATGATTTTGAAATCATAACAATTACTAAAAAATAGGCCTAATATCCAAAACATAAACGTATTTTAAAAAATTAAGTAGAGAATAAAAGAGAACTGGCTGTATTACCACACTCTGCTGTTATGGAAGCCAGGCCGCCATAAATGAAAGGCCTCCAGTCATTCATTCCACGAGCAACTGTTTGAGTCTTAGAGGTGGACTGGGCAGTTTGTTCTTCTATATTCTGTGTTAGGGGAACTTGAGGAGTCACACTTATGGCCTCATGTCTATAGGAGGAGGAAATAAAAATTGAAAATACAAGAACTGGTGCAACAGAGACTGTTTGAACTATCTTACAGTCAATAAAACAATTGAATATTGGCCAGGTGATTCTAAATCGAGCTTAGAGTTTGAAGGCATAGTCAACAAAGGTACTAAAACTATTTGTTAACTAGTTTGAAGTTAAGCTGTATCCAAGAACTTTTGCTATAGTCTCTACCATAACCCTTTACAGCTATTCCCAAAAAATAATGACATTTTGCCCTTTCACAGAAGTACTTTTCTGTGTCTTAGCAGAAAGCTGCATTGAATTCATTAAATGACATTCATCCATTATTTAGCTGTTTATTATCAGCCTGTTCCAATACTAAAAAAAAATACACCACAACACTATGCTGATTTCTCCCAAAAAAAAAAAATCTAATTAGAAAAGTATGACACTAGAAAATGTTAAACAAATTGCTATAAACTTTCAGCTTCTAAAATAATTAAACTCTAATACCACCTAATGGTACTTTCCTGTTTTGTCTCTAGAGCAACAAGGGCCCTTCCCCACCTAAGTGCTAGGTATTGTTATCAGAGATAATTGTTATCAAGTTGCATTAGTCATATTTCCATGTTTGAACTGGATTAACTGGAATGTACCAGCTGTTCGGATATATGCAGCTGAGTTGGTGGTGAGTAAAAATCAATCAAATTTAACTAGGCCTGCACAGAATAGACCTAAATCTATGCAGCTCAACAATTAAAGATTCAATAGCTTTCACGTTAATTAACCTAGGTCAAATGCTTAATTTAAAAAAAAAATATTTTATGGATCTGATTAATTAGATTGGTGGTAGACCATAGAACCAAATAATTATTAAATTAGTCTAGGCATAAATTATTTATTATATATCTTTATGCCCTGGACACAATGCCTTACTACTGACAGAATAAACTAAATTAGTAGATCCAACTAACTATAACTATGCATTAGCATTTTATATACTTTTTTATGTAGGCCTATAGGAATAGACTAATTATTATCAAATTAATTAACGACAAAGTAGAAGCCTAATTAATTAGGAGGTTAGTCTAAGTAATAGGGGTCTTCTTAAAAGGTCTTCTAATTAATAAAATTATGAGGCCTAATAATAGCAATACTAACTACAAATAGTAACCTATAGTAACTCAATGCTAGTCAGTCATAAGTATCTATATATATAATTCTCTTCTTGGAGACAATAGAAAACACCAAGCTGTAAGCGCACTCCTTACCACCCCAACCCCTACATGGTCTGGTGAGCTGTGGTTCACTGGTTTACAACCTGGCTTAGTGACGGCTATTATGGGCAGATAATTTAGTCTGAAGCGATTTTAAACTTCGGGAGGTAACTAAGCGGAGGCTAATTTCACGGGGGGGGGGGGGGGGTAGGGGAAAGGAGGGGGGTTATCGTCCTTAACGAGCTACTGATAATGCTTTAAAGCAAATATATTAAGTGGCAGCATTGGAACTGTCGAATTCACAAATTATGAATTACTGAAAAGTAGAAAATAAAACAACTAAATAGCAGCGTATGATACGCCGCATGTCGGCTCGTTAATTATATTTAGATTAGACTAGGACTTGGCCTAGAATCATCCTGATTAATTAGTTATTGTGAGTAGGCCTAGAAATCTAAGTAAAATCTAGGCTAAGAAGTGCTTTAACTTGCCACTAACACTGCCTACCTACAACTACTGTGCATTTTTAGTAGATTTGGTATTTGGTAGTATTTTGGTAGTTAATGTCTAAAAAAATTTGTTGGGGGCTTGCGCACTATTATATTTCTACTTTTATTGTAGTCTTATAGGCTAATAGATCTAGTTTGTTTCATCATTGATTCAATGGATCCCAGTAACACTAGTAAATCTCTAGAATTAAATAATACTAATAGAATAATAGGTCCAGTCAATCAATCCATCCCATAGAATAACATAAGAATCTCATTCATAGCTAACTTTAGATAAAAAAAAATATCTATATATATAATTCTCTTCTTCGAGCCGTTAGAAAACAAGCTGCAAACGCTCTCCCTACCTCCCCACCCCTACATGGCTTTAGTGAGCTGTGTTCACTCTAAATGTTTACAAGCAGAGCCAACGATTTTAAACGTATGGGGGGGGGGGGGGAAGAGGGGGGGGAAGGAAGGGGGGGGTTATGGTCCTTAACGAGCTACTTATAGTGTTTTAAAGAAATATTTTCAGTGTCAGCGTTGGTACTGTCGAATTCACAAATTATGAATTATTGAAAATTAGAAACAACTAAATAGCGGCGTATGTTATGCCGCGGGCCGGCTCGTTCTTTTTATTCTATTTCTAGCCTACTGTCAAGAACAACCTTAAAAAAACGTAGTTTCACTAGATCTAGATCTAACTATAATAAAGTATAGGCCTAAATCTAGATTCTAGATCTAATCATAACAATGTACTAGAAGAAATCTAACCCCCAAAATAAATCTAAATCTCTAGACTCTAGATCTAGTGATCTAGATTTTCTATTTCATCATCATTCATGTTGACTTGATTGAAGAGTAAAGTAGCAAGGTGTGTTCTTATTCGACACATTTTTTAAAAATCGTCTTTCACTCTTTCACGAATAAAATTACTTCATCCAGCGAATACAAGCATAGATCTATATATCTAGATCTAGATCTAATACTTAACCCCAGGCATCTTACAAGAATGATATTCCATTTGCTATGCAGATCTAATCTGTATCTTAAAGATAAGGCTTGTCCACACTCCACAACATACCGCTTATTTTAACTTTAATGTAGAGATCTAGGTGAAGTTCAATGGATGCACAACAGCATTTCCCGGATTTTGTTACCATGTGGCGACAGCGTGATCGAATCGTAAAGTCTCATTGGCTGCTAAATTTGCACGAATATGACGTTTACATATTCTAAGGTTATTGATTGGCTGATATCGCTACAGCGGTAGCCTAAAGTGGGCGGAAATTTAAATACTAAATACAATATCATTAAAATACTAAAAAAATGTAACATTTATCGCCAGATCAGCAATGCTAGATCTATATAAAAATAAATTGTTAGAGATTTTTAGCACAACAATTACAGTAAACAAAGTTACCCATGTAACTTATGTAATCGCCAACCAAACCGTGTCATTTAGTGCATACGTCATTAGGATCCTAAGGAGGTTCCCTTGAAATACGAAAAGTTATTGGCTGTAAAAAAAATTTTATATATAGAAATCTAGATCTAGATATAGATCTAGATCTATATATATAGGCCTATATAATATGAGTGATATACTAGGTACAAATGCACTGACAGATCATGCTTAGGATGCTTGCACCGCATCGGCATGATTAATTATGTAAGCTTACTTAAACGCATCTCGCTGCTTACAAATCACTCTTTCAAACATACTTATGAAAGGGGAGAGGAGAGGCAAAAGCTACGTTATATTGGTCTACAAGCGAATGGATAAAAGGCCACACTGGCTTAACGTTTATTTTTTTAAACACAAATAGGAAATAAATATTTTCTTTCAGACACCTCTTCGAATTAGCACCCCCCCCCCACCCGTTTAACAGTTATTTACCGTTTGAGTTCAGATTTTTAAAAAAATCTGGTCTAAAGGGCTACTAGTTCTTAAATTTAAACAAGGTAGAGCAGAGGCGTAGCGACCCTTCCCGGTGACAAACTTTTCGATTTGCACCCCCCCCCCTTCAAGATTTCGATTTGCACCCCCCCCCCCGTCTCAAGATTTCGATTTGCACCCCCTCCCCCTCAAACTTTCCCTTTTCACCCCCCCCCCCCTCAAACTTTCGATTAGCACCTCCCTCAACCTTTCAATTTATATTTCCAACCCATTTTGGCGCCCCCTGAGGTCGGCGCCCGGGGACATGCCCCCCCCCCCTCGCTACGCTACTGATGTAGAGATTTCACATTTGTGTATGTGCACTCGTGGAACATATTATGAGCCATATCTATATCGCTACACACCACAATGGAATTTTCCCATTAAGTTTTAGTCTATGTAGATCTAGTGAGAATCAGAACGGTGCTTTATCTAAATGTCAAACATTTAATAACAACAAAAATGGAGCCGACTTAAAATAACCCTGTTTAATTCCTACTTAAACCATTTGTTGATAACTAACAATATAAGCCTACATCTACTGTTACATAAGCCCTGTTGCATCAACTTTGTTTGAAACTCAATATAAAATGCGTCACATGTAAGCTGGTCGGTAGGTTCAGAAATATTAATGTTATTTTTAAATTAAAATCAACATTACACTGGCATCAAATCGATAATTTCAGGCCTACTTTTTCAGAATATTGCATTAACTTAGAATTCTGTAACTTAAATATGCAATCACTCGTGTCGATATATTATTAATGTACGTAACAATAATAATAATAATAAATAAATAAATAAATAAATCGAGATAAATTGCGTACAAGTTATTTCAAAACTAACATAATTAGATATCTATTGAAAATTATAATTAAAACTATTGGAATGCCCGGTCAACCAAAAGATGCATTGCGATTGTTTCAGTAGGCCTTTTTAAAAAAAAAAACGAGATTACGATGTTGAAAACTCAAAATATTTTTTTCAGCGTTCAACACTTCTAAAAGAATGGTTTTGGATTGTAACTAACACCTTAGAATGTGTAAATGCCCCGTTGTCGGAACGGAGGGTCGGAAGTCCCAGCACACCTCCCCTGCATTCGCCATCATTCTTCTATAAGAGTCCTATTTCAAACTAATACATGTTTCCCTTTGCCCCGCAGTTCGATGTGCTCCACACGTCATCCAGACACATGCTGACAACATAATGATTTCACATCTTAACGAAAAATTTCACTGACATAGGAAAATCTTCCACGACACAAGGCACCGTATTCCACGTGGCATTAGAAGACAGATATGGAATCTGCACTGAGGGCGTCCATTGTTAAACCACAATGTAACTGGACACTGAAACCTGGTATTCGAAGACTGAG